GAAATGTTAAGTTTTTCCTGCTGTCCATTCTTCAGTGAAAATCAACCATTACTCATTTGAGCTTAATATTAAAAAATGCTGTTTTAATTCTGGTTTTCAGCCCCTGGTCTAGCTTACCTATCTAAAAAATAAATAAATAAATAAAAATCCCTTGAACTAATCACAAAAATATGATATCCTGTAACTAATTACATGTTCCAAAAATCTTCCTGCAAAGAAAAGTTTAAGATAAAAAAAAAAAAATTAAAACGAACACTTGGTTAGTTAGTTGTGAGATAACATTTGGTCACTATCTAGGTTGTGAGTTTGTAGTAAACACTGAAACTAAGGATAAGCAATACAGGTTATCTACATTTATTAAAATATTCTAAATTTCGAGTTAAGGCCCATTTCATTAAGCATTCCATCTCCACCTTCAAGGGTTATGAACAACATAAGTTATTTATAATAATCAAAATAGAATATGATCATATATCAAGGAAAATGAGGTCAGATGAAACATAACTGGCTAATGACATCATCACTGAACACATCCTGATCAATGGTGTAACTGGTGATTTTTTTTTACCAATAGGAGAAATTGAAACACATGCCATCATTCAAATGAATATAATTCTATTCGGTTGAACGAAGTGAATAAGAATGGAATTATTTTCTCCTAGGGGGCGACACTGTATATATTGTGTTAGTTGTGATACTGGTAAGAATTGTGGGTAAGTTACGACAGTTGTTCATTCGACCAGTTAGCGCAGACTAGTTGACACGTAAATTTTGGAGCGCGCATTTTTCAGTGGTGTCAGAGGGCGTTTGGCTAATACAAATACTAGAGTCCGTGCAGTCGCAGGCGGAATCGTTAAAAGACCTAAAAGGCTCAAGTAAATTCTGAGTTGGAAATCTTAATGAGCGAATTACATGGTTTTATCCAACAAAGATTAAGACCGAGGTTTCAATCAAATGCCGTCAAGAAGGCAACCGCATTCAGTTTGATTTCGATACTGAATTAGAAGAGCTTTTACGAAGCCAATCCTTTGGCCAGTGACTCTGAGGATGCAAAGAAAGTTAACAGAGCGGAAAGCAAGGCATTGAAAAAGCGTAAATTGAGCAAATCTATTTCGAAAGGAGGTCATGGCTCCAGCAAATCTAACGTTAGTAGTACTTATCCTGTTTACTGTGCTCAGCCTATTTTTAGTAGACAACTATGGGCGTTTCCCTGTGTTACACCAGGAGCAGTCAGTCCAGGTTCTTTCACGCCACCAGTCACTTCTGCTGTCAGCCCCTACGGACAAGGAAGGAGCGGGTCGTGTTTTGCGTGTGGGTCTTTAGGCCATTGTAGGAGAGATTGTCCCTACACTAAAACACCAGGAAGTGCACCAGGATTCTCAAAAACCAATCGTCCATGATTTTGTTAAAGATGAGTATTGTTTTGATGTGAAATATGATAAATTATTTTTTACAAACACAATGACACTGTGATACAGATCTGGAAAGCATACATTTTATTGGAAACTCTTCTTTCTGGAATAATTGGATCGTATACAATTAAACGGTGAGTGAATTGCTAACTGCCAGGCAAATTGTTCTATACATTAATGCACTCATTTACATCTATGCATAGTTTTATCACCGATGAATGTATAAAGTGCATAGCATGTAATATACGTATTCACAAGTATATATTGATAATATGGTCCATCGTTCTTGTGATTATGATATTTATAATATTCAATCTAACTTTAATACATAGTCCAATTTTGTGTATATGTATAGATTTTCTTCCGTTGTGGGCGTGTGCTCGTGAAGCATATATACTTTACAGTAGTTAAGTAAATATTCTCATTTGCATGAGTTATGAAATTAAAGCCCGAAAAAGTGAATAACATATATATTAGTAAGTTGAATTCCTGGGATATTGTCCAATATATTGTAACCAACTAGAGCTGGGGAATATGATATGCTTATCCAATTCTTGGCTTTTCTTCCCCATTCTGTCAATTTCGTAAAAATAACGATAAGCCGCATTCCAACTATTATGTGCCATGATTTGTGTGATTGTGAATCAGTTAAACTTTTCAACAGTTTCAATCATGTTACACATATGTGCTAATAATAAATGAATACACAATGAAAAGCATGTTTTGTGTTAACATATCTGACTTCTATGTTGTCAGGAGTTAGCGTGGCAACATGGCAATAAAACTTTCAACTAAAACAGAGTACCACATACGTTGTATACTTCACGATATAAATAGTATCACTATTTATATCATGAAGTAGATCATGGATCATTATTTTAGCTCTCCAAACACATGATACTTCTATTCGGAATATGTATCTCCAAAACGATTTTCATCCACTACTTGAAATAATATTAAAAAAATGAACTCTAGAAAAGGCAAAACATACTGGTTTTGCGTCAAAGTTAACTTTCTTAATACAACTTTTTGTCTAATACTATATTATCTCCAGACAATATATATGACTACTCGATCTACTATTTGTTATCGAAGCTTCTTTACCGTTTTCACAATTTTATTGCTTCAGGCACTAGGCATGCCCAGTATGCTTCCTCGAACTCGATGTTAAACAGGCCTTTTGATAAGCTCGTAAAATAAAGATTACTTATAAATGGTGTACCGTGGTGATTCATTCTCTTCCATATATGGATAGGGGCATCTTGAGGGCCACTTGCGGAACTTGCGGTGGTTTTGTTGTCCGGTCAACGATTGGTGGAGCGTTATTTCCAGTATTAGTAGAAGCCTGCGGTTCTCTAAAACCCCTCCAGTCTTGTGAGCCCCTGTTTCCATATTGCGTGTATCCAGTCGGTTGGTAATTCTGGCTACTGAAAGCACTGTGCTGCGGTTCCACTTTGTTAACGAAGGAAGAGTCGTTGTGAGGGGTAGGTTGCGGTTTCGTAGGCCTTAGATTATTGGTAGCATAAATATTTTCTTCGTAACCTGGTATCATCGCCGTAGCTGCACCGAGGTGCAGTGTGTCCATTCTCCGTTCTGGGTATTGGAGGTTCCTGTTCCAATAAGGCTTCGATTCTGGTGCCTGTTCCTCTGGGGCATATTTGTTATATTCCCCAGAACGTCTTACGCCAGGCGTACCATGTTCTGTAGCATTCGTTGGTAGGGAATTAGTAGGGCCTGTTTGATCCACTGCAAGGTTGATGTATGTATTCCCTTTGGCCACTGTTGATACGTTTTGGTTCAGCCGGTTAGTGTCGTTTCTGAAGTTGTAATATCCATGCTGGCGAGGCACTTCATTTGGCTTAACATCCGCCTTAAATTGACCTGACGCATTGTCATTCGACACAATTCTCTTTGGGGCAGCCGGGAAGGGGTATCCTGATCTATTTGGCGGAGGGTAAGAGGCAAGAGCAGAGCCGAAGTCTGACTTAACTTTGTCTTGCTTCGCTTGATGAACATGGGGATGTGATATTTTGTCCTCGTGTGGGTGATGCCAGTAATTTCGGAATTCGTAAGGATTAACCGGATGAGAGCCGTGGATGTTGTGGCGATCTTGAACTCCATCATCACGAGGATTAGGGAAGTGTCCACCTTTAGGTTTCTTTAAGTCAGGGCAGACTATGAAAGCCGCTGCAATCACCACAATAATCAGCAGAGCCACCGCCGCAGAAGCACTTCCAATGGCGATTTGTTGAACGGGAGAGAGTCCTGATGATGATGACGAGGTTGTTTCTTGGGTCGTACTTGTTACTGGCTCTACTGAGGGTAACGGATAACTGTAGACAAAAAATACCGAGACGATATTCGAAACTTGTCCTATCTTATTTTTGTCATCTGATGCCAAAAGCGCAATGAAATACGTGATGTTGGAATTAACTCTTTGGTTGAATTGGACGCGAAAAGTTTCTGTTGCACCTGCTGGCAAGGGTGAATCAAGTTTTCCCTGGATAATATCCTTGTCAAGGAGTTTATAGGTGTTACTGAAGTTGAGTCGGAGTTGTGAGATTGAGGTGCTGTAGCGAATAATGTAACTCGATGCTGAAAGAAGGTAAATGAATAAATAAGAATTACCGGTATCTATATAAAACAAGCGGGCCATTTAAGTTTTGCTTTGAATACTGATCATAGATAAAATCAACGATCCTTTTAGACGGAGAAAAGTACTTTGTTATGAAGCATGCAATATCAGTGTCTTTGAAAAGTGTCTTGGAATAATGAATCAGATTTTTTCGCAGTTATAAATCTATATCATGAAACGTGAAGTGATTATCCTTTGCTGTGCCTGTAGCATTATCGGCAAGGCTTTGATTTGCACGTATATACGTCAGTGCTTAACTTAGTCTATAATACGGAATTTTGAGTCTACCATATAACACACGTAACTTTGCATAACAATAAGTTATGACACTTTGGTCTGGTTAATATGTCTACTGAATCGGACATAATGCAAACAACTTCCTACTAACCTTTTCCTTGGTCCAGATCATCACCAGTTGCTGTCCAGGACAATGTAACAGTTTTATTCTCAGTGTTAACTGCTGACAACACCAGGTCGTAGATTGTGCCAGGAGGGTACAGGTCAGGTGGTTCTGAACCAGGCGTCGAAGTTGGGAGATTCTTAACTGTGAATAAACCTCCGCTGTCGGAACGCTCGAATGGTTCTATTGGTGTGTACACAACCTCCGGCTTTATGGCATTTGCTGCAGCTTAAAATGTATCGCCAAAACGTTTGTAAAGGCCCAAATTGGTAGAAGGTATTTTTCTCAAATTGCACAATGACTCAGCTTTTTAGAGCAAATGAGTTAAATGACAACTACTGATTTAGATGTACACATGCAAACATATAACTTTGTCATGTTGCTTGATGTCGCTATCTTGTACATTAACACTGCGTGACAGTTAATCTGCATGTTATATCAAAATTGATCTAAAGAACGTTGATCGTTATAATTCAACATACTTGACACAGCATGAAAAGGAGACTTAAATGTAGTTATTTCTGATGACAGACAATTTTTACAAATGGCGACGTTAACACGTATGGTCATTAGGCAAGTTAAATATGCAAAAACGAGTATAGAGCTTACTTGTGTTGGTAATGATTGGTAATCTTTGTCCACCAACTACAGACTTAACTGAAACACCGTCTTCGCCTTTCACTACAACTCGCACAGAATGCGTCCCGTCGCCTTCAAATGTCAGGAAATATGCCGAGTAGATGCCGTCGTTCTTGGTATTATCCGCACCTTTGTGAGAAACAAAAACAGACATGTAAGAATTATATGTAATTATTTCCCAAAAGTATAATGTGTGCAATTAAGCAAGGTTTGAATAGCAAGCCTAGGGATATAGGACCAGCGTCAACGTGAAAACTGGAACTTACATTATTAGTTGGGTTAAAAAGGTCGTATATATGAGATTTATGCCAACAGAGCCCATCGCAGTTTATGTCAATTTTGGAGCTTCATAAAAGGATACACTAACTTTTTAGAGCAAAGTATGTTTGTAACGTTTTTTCTTTCAAAAAAGCATGAAATACCGACATGATTTCATAAATGAGTGAAATAATAATCATGGAAGCAGTATTCAAACTGATACAACGAATACGTATACTTACCTGCCCCGTTATCAAGCAGTTGTAGTGTGTGGGTTTTCCCATTACTTGCGTCAACATAAGCCTTCACAGTGGCGCCAACTACCGGCGTGTAGCCTTGAGTAACCTCTCCATATATGACAATGCGGGACAAACTGGGATCTGAAACGAAGTCACTAGATGTCACTAAAGAATGGAGGATAAGAGTAAATCGGAGGGGGTGTGCTTGGTAGAACTTATAGCCTTTAGTTGTTAAGCCTCATCAATCATAATAATTCTTGAATGGTTGAAGAGATAACAACTGTTCATTTTGGCCAGAAAATGGATTTTCCTGGGGTAAAGGACAGTTTTCCCATGCTTACCAATGGTAAATGAATCCGTTCCGACTTTCAAAGTAAGCCCCTTTTTTTCTAATAATCTTCTCTTTTTTGTGATATTCTCTTAAAGAGAGTTAATATGGAGGTCACATGATGTGATGGCAAGCTTAAATTCCAGAATAATTGCATTACTCGCCGTTTCGGTGGTAAAATAGAATTATTATATTTCTATGAGTTGTTCACAATGTGTTTATTGTGAAATTTGGATATCATACGAACAATATACTTTAAGAATACTTTAAGGGTTTATTATCATCTTTACGCAACAAATGAGATTTACAGTATATTTCATCTGATTTTTCATAAATGCATCTACCTTTGTGCTGATGTAAATAATACAATTCCCCTTGAAATTGACAAAATATTGATGTTTATATTTTTCGTTGTTATGTGTAAGCATAGGCCATTCAAAGCTTTTATCGTCAATTTAACACCTATTTTGAGGTGAGATAGCAATCTAGATTTTAGACTATTAATAAATAGAAATCATTATCATGATTATCATCATTTGATACGAAGTTGCTTTCAGAGCAGTTGTGCGAGGACATTTGGAGACGGAAAAACTAGTTTAATAGATTCATTAGCCGGAAGTAAGTATGGGAAAATGGCCCTTTACCCATTTTTGACCAAAATTAACAGTTGTAGTTAAGAATTTTAGTTTTTACATGCTGTAAGCGACATCTTGTCTGGTGCTAAGTGATGTTGTTTGTTTTTATTGTTAATAAAAGTTTCAACATGATTAAAAACTAAGAAATTGTTATCGTAGATTTGTTAAAACTTTAGTTAAGAATTTTAGTTTTTACATGCAGTAAGCGACATCTTGTCTGGTACTAAGCGATGTTGTGTTTACCTCAATCATTATATATATATATATATATATATATATATATATATATATATATATATATATATATATCTGTAATTAGTCCTCTTTCTGGGTTGTTTTGCATTGTGACAAGGATTGTTATTGTCTGGTTTTATTGTTAATGAAAGTTTCAACATGTTTAAAAACTAAAAATGTGTTGACTTAGATTTGTTAAAAGCTTAGTTTTGTGCTTACCCGTATGAGGACGTGCGTGTTTCTTTAATAACAAATATTTTCACCTCAAATAAGCGCAGTATTTAGTTTGGAAAGAAAGAAAGAAAGTTTGCAAACTTTACCTGCAATATCCACGGTATCACTGCTCACACTGGCACTCAGTAAAATGGGCGCTGCTTCTGAAGAAGGTCGTGAAGAGATCTGGGCCTGGACTGTTTTTCCGGAACCCGAGCTGGTGACAGTGTAGAGCCATTTTCCTACCTGTTTAAGAAAGTTCATTTTGGTGAGAAACGTACAAGTCTTTTACAGAAGTACATGTAATTTATAGGAATGTTTCTTTCTCAAATGGCAAAGTACATTACAAAATGCATTAACAGTTGACTTCGTTTACTTACCCTTCCTTGGGGCCTACCTTTTGGGATATCAACTCTTTATATGAGATGTAAAATTCAACAATCAATAAATTGCAACTAAAACATATATATAATAAATCCAATTTTACCACCAAAACGGCGGTAAGTGCAATTAGTTTGAAATCTATGCTTGCCATCGGACCACGTGGACCTTTATAGATTGGTTGTACGTAATGGTATTTCTAAACAACATGGACTTACTTCGAATGTGGTTAAGGGTTCATTAACCCTTTGAAAGTATGAGAAAACTTCGTGTTTACTCCAGGAAAATCTTAATAAAGACTTGTTTTCCCTTAAACTGAAAGCAATAATAACTCTTCGTTTCGGCCAAAAAATGAATTTTCCTGGAGTAAACAACAATTTTCCCATACTTACCAATGGTTAATGAATCCATTTTTACATTCAAAGTTAGTCCCTGGTTTTTTTCTAAAAAGTTTGGTTTTTTGTTAAAATCTCTTAAGAGATTTTAACAGAGTATAGACATCAATGGAGGTCACATGGTCTGAAGATAAGTTCAAATATCAGAATAAAAGCTATAACTGCTGTTTTTGTGGTAAAACAGAATATATTATATTTCTATGAGTTATTCACAAGGTTTTTATTGTGAAATATAGGTCTCATACAAAGAGTTATTATCCCTTTAAAATCGTCCCATTTTCACAATACTAGGGGTATATTTCAGTCGCTATCTCTGACAATTTTGTTTTTATTGTGTGTCGAGATTAAACAGCAATATGCGAAATTTTATCAAAACTGAAATATTTCATCATTTTAGTATATTGCCCTACCTGTGTTGTGCCGTTAATATCAATATTCAGTACTCCGGACCCACTGCCCTGCGTTATGGTCACATTGTCAGGTGCTCTCAATGTCACAGTGATCGAACCAGTACTCCATGTGAATAAAAATCGTGTGTTGTTTCCAATAGTACTGTCAATATACATGGAACCTTGGAAAGAGCTTCCTCCACCGGGGACTGTAAACGATTCTGACAATATCTGAAATAGAAATATATATTTTCGGATGTAGTTCCATGCAAGTCAATAAGGCGGTTAGGTAACATATTGAGAGCAGTTGGACCTATCAATGAATGGCCTGATACTCAGTAATCTAATGATAATAAAACTTAAGATATTCCCTATATATTGATAAAAGATATCGTTCGTCTGCTAGCTCTGAGCGCCTACGGCAGCCGTGCTGTATCCTCCCCAGGAAGGCGAGAGTGTCATCACCCAGTCCGTATATCTTGACCAAAAGTGACCAAGCCTAGGCATCCACTTTTTTTCTTTCTTATATAAACAACTTCGATCCAATGGGTTGCAATTCTTAATTAAGTTATTATTGTTTATCTATAATTATTATTTATAACACTACAAGGCCAACGCTTTACCTGAACTAGAACATCTTCCTGGCCGCTGTTTCTCTGTGTAATGGTCTTAGACAAGGAGTCCGTCAAAGAAGTAGATAGAGTATTTCCCGTTTCAAAGAATGATAGGCCTCCAGTGTCTTTAGCTAAAGATATGAGTTGTTCATCAGCTGACGCCGTAAAAAGTAACGTATCCACTAAGACTTCTTTCTGTATGAGGATTGGCTTAATTTCCCTTATGTATGGAGGACGGTTTTCCTCGCCATCACTAACAACGACCAAAATGCCACCAGCTGCTGCCATGTTGTTGTTTTCTAACACCTGGTTGAATTCGAATTAGTAATTATCAGTAGATGGGACTGAGCAGGAAAACTAAAAATACTCAGATACTGCAGTATATACATGTACATGTATATTTAAATATCAATACTGGTTTCTGATGCACAACTACTTTAAATGAGATATTCAAAGTGGATGTAGAAGCAAAACTGAGCAAAAAACACAAATTACTTTATTTGAACATACTTGTACAGGTAAACGAGAAGGCAAAAATTGTAAGGGTAATATTGGCAACATCACAAAAGCGTCATGGCATTGTGTCCGTTATTTTGCACTGGTTGTATTTTTACAACTATGGTCAGTACTTGATATAACCCTATATACATGTATAAACCGTCTAATTATACAACAGAATATGGTATCGACTTACATCTATGCCTTCTTGGAGACCACAACCAATGCATGTTCCTCCATTGGCGATTAGTCCATTAACAATGGAAACCATGTCTTCTCTCACTGATCTAGAACTCATAGTCGTTAGATGCTTCACTATGGTAGTGGAATATACGTAACTAAATTTAACTATGCCAACTTGGCTATCTTCGGCAACAGTGTTGAGTAGGAACTCTGCACACGCCTTCTTCAGGTTCACCAATTTGTTGTCCTAAATTGTTGATTAGAGTCTGGTTAAGATAAGCACAACTATCTAAAATACTTCTCAAATTAATATAAGAAGGACTTTACTTTTTTCTTGGTTTGTTTTATCTATTTACTGAATAATTGTCGTGTCGGCCCTGTCTTGATCAATTGTATGTGCAGTGAACAATACAGCGAGCGTGACGTCACAACTTGGTTCCAACTTTGGCAGCATTTAATGGGGCCATAATAAAATTGGGCAGATTATCAGTACACAACTGACATAAATTGTAATTGGGTGAGAGTTGTTGCATTTTACTAATTCATACGAGTTAAATAAAATAACAAGTTGTGTGTACATATGTTTGTATATGCACGTTTTGACCTTAAAAGAATTAATTTGCACAGTTCAAAAGACACAGGACACTTACATTGGCCATGCTTCCGGAAACGTCGAGAACCAGTACATATCTCTTTGGCTGCTGTTGAACCACTTTGAAAGTGGGAGTTGTATCAATGTCTGTATTAGTGGATACAGGAGGATTATGATCTGAAGCAATGGAATTTGAATACCCCTATGTTAATATTCTGTTCATTCTTTTTAAGGAAAGTTGGATGTTATGTTTAAAATATTCTTATCAATTGCTTGTGGAGAACGTAGACCTGTGACTTATTTTTTAAACAAAATCTATAATATTTTGAACAACTTTTAAGCTAATTTTCATTTCAACCACAAAATCGTAAATAATATTCTAGTGGATTGTCATTATTACTATAGTTTTACTATTTATGTAGACTTATGTAATTTACTCTTCTGTTTGAGATAGCGATCATTGTCAAGTTGGACCAATAAACGCTAAACGACAGATAGCACAGTGTACTTATGTATGATCGCTATCCACTACCTGACAACATGCCGGCGGTCCAGTGCCCAATAGAGGGCTGTGACTACACCTCAGATGACCTTGACGCCACTATCGTAGCAGCCCTACTCAACACAGACAGCTCTGTTCATAACAACACCCACGTAACTGCAGCCAAAGTGGAGAAAGTCAAGCAGCCCACAATATCAACCTGTAGTACCAGCGAAGAGTGGTCATATTTTCAGTCCAGATGGAGTATGCCAGAGTATGCTGATGCAACGAAGATAGCTGGCAAAGACAGGGCTATCCAATTGCTGAAATGTTGTGATGACCCCTTGTGAAAAGACCTAACCAGGACAGCAGGTGGGAGCCATTTATGAGGTGATAGCCACAATCAAGGCATTATCGGTACGCACTGAGAACACAATGGCGGCAAGAGTGACCCTACAAAACATGAGTCAAGACAGAGATGAACCTGTCTGCAACTATGGAGCCCGTCTAAAAGGCCAGGCAGGAGTATGCAAATTTTCTGTCTCATGCCCCAGCTGCAACACTGTTGTAAGCTACATGGAGGAGAAGACCCGTGATGTTCTAACCCGTGGACTAACACACTCTGAGATCCAAATAGACCTTCTAGGGGATAAGAACCAGGACATGACATTGGAGGAAGTCCTCCAATATGTGGAAGCAAAAGACGCAGGAAAGCGCTCCGCATCATGCTTACAAGAATCCCAAGCAGCTGAGGCCATCGGTAGCACTTACCGACGCAAGGAAAATGAGACCCCACCCCTGCTGAAAAACCACCCCAGGACCCTTGTGACTACTGCAGAAAAACTGGCTGGGCAAGGCTGCCCCTTTACGCATTCACAAGAGAGATTACCCCGCCTTTGGGCACAAATGCCAGACCTGCACGCGATACCACCACCTTGAAGTAGTGTCCCGTAGCAAAGATAAACCCAAGCCGAGCCAGAAGACTACTTCCTGTCATGAGGCAGATGACTGTGAAAGCGCAGTCTTTGAATAGCTCTGCTCTGTCACCATCACAACACAACATACAAAAGTCAGGGCCATTTTAGATCATCATATCTACGACCAACTGAATGACACTAGGGTGCGAAGAACTTCCAAACCACAACCATTTGTCAACCTCAGAATCACTGTCTGTGCAGATGATTACAGAGAGGTAGGCTTCAGCCTACTATCCTCAGCCATACCAATAGAACATCCCTCAATGGCTGACATTGGTTATCAGAGCTGCCTTGCTGGCATTAAGGTAATCCAACGTCTAGGCCTGAAACAACAGGACCTGATCCCAGTCACTATGAAGATGCAAACTGTTGTCAACAATGGCATCAACATTCTTGGAGCAACCATCCTTCGCTATGCTGGGAGGGGCCCATCTGGCAAACTGGTGGAAACAAGACAAATGACTTATGTTATCGATGACAAGCTCTTTATCAGCAGGGAGGCATGTATTGCACTTGGCATCATACCAAAGACCTTCCCGACTGTTGGTGCATATCACATGTCGCAGTGTGCATCTGTGTCCCCTGACATTACCCTTAAAGCACGAGGCGCTGATGTCCCATACACATGCACTTGCCCCAAACGTCGGCCTACATCACCCTGTGTCTCAAATCCGATCCACTGCCCCAATCACATCCCCGTGGAAGAAAACATGATCTCTGCACTTACATCCTCTCTGGCATCCATCACCTTGAAATCAGTGACCTGGGACAGAGTACGCACAGCAACCACAGGTGATGCAGATATGGCTATGCTAGTAGACTTTTAAAATAACTTCAGGTCTGCCAGAGAGCCGCCAAGAGTTCCCTATCAAGCTTTGCGAGTATTATCAGTTCAAGGAGGACCTCAGCACAGTCCATGGAGTTGTGTTGTATGGAGACCGCGTAGTCATCCCACCTGCATTAAGGCAAGAAGTCCTCTCTACATTGTGCAGTGCCCATCAGGGGATCTCCTCTATGATAACCAGAGCCGAGGCCTCAATATTCTGGCCTTGCATTACACACGATATTATAGCCACCAGAACATGTCGCAACCACTGCAACTGCATGACTCCCTCCCAACCGAGTGCCCCTCCGACACCATTGATATATCCTGACTACCCATTCCAGTGCGTATGTGCTGACTACTTCCACTACATTGGCAATAACTATCTTGTCATCGTTGATCGGTATTCCAACTGGCCGATTGTGGAGAGAGCATCTCAAGGAGCGGCTGGCCTGATAGCTTCTCTTCGACGGACCTTTGTCACCTTAGGCATAACTGATGAGCTATCCACAGATGGGGAAACGGAGTTCAGAAACTGCCACCAAGAAGTTCCTCTCTGATTGGGGTGTACATCATCGTATGTCATCAGTAGCCTTTCCCCATAGTAACTGCTATGCTGAAGTTGGGGTTAAGACAGTTAAACGCCTCATCACAGACAATACCAGCCCTAATGGTGACCTGGACATGGACAGCTTTCAGCGTGCTATGCTTCAGTACAGGAACACCCCGGACACCAAACTCTCACCGACAATGTGTGTCTTTGGACACCCCATCCGTAATTTCATCCCCATTCCACCGGGAAGATATAAACCACACACCACTTGGCAAGAGACCCTTTAAGGTTAGGGAGGAAGCGCTCAGAAATCGCCATATGAAGATGGCAGAACGCCTAATAGAGCACACCAAGAGTCTTGTACCCCTTGCAGTAGGGGATCGTGTCCAAATCCAGAACCAGACAGGCCCTCACCCCTGAAATGGGAAAAGTCTGGGACCGTGGTTGAAGTACGGCAGTTCGATCAATATGTTGTGAGAGTAGATGGAGTAGTAACATTGCAGAACAGGAAATTCCTACACTCCTGTCCTGCAACCCACACCAATCCAGACCATAGGCCGTGGCACACTCCCATGACACACAAACGCAGTGTGAAACCCCGCCGTCACTGACTGTACCACCCATACCTCAACTGTTCAACGCACCTTCACCCGCCACAAATATGCCGTCACCCCAAAGCGCCGCCTTCTACCTTTAGGGAATGCAACTCCACCCAGGTCAGTCAGTGTTAGCACACGTGTTTGCACCACTAGATGCATCTTCCAAAACTAACTTGTGACTTCCGATGATGTTAATTTCGGACCTATAATCATCGTACTTGAGTTCCTTGGTTATCCCACCACTTGTCTTACTCCTATTACTTTGTATTACTCCTGTTACTGTTCTTACTCCTATTACTTTGTAGTTTACTTGTTTTCTCACACTAGTGACCTCTCATTGAAACATTTCAGTCTTTCTTCTGACTTTGGTTAACAGTGGACCTAAAGACTTGGGGGAGATATAGGATTACTATTTATGTACTATAATTTACTTTTCTGTTTCAGATAGCGATCATTGTCAAGTTGGACCAATAAACGCTAAACGACAAATAGTACAGTGTACTTATTTTATTACTACCACTAGCTTTTTATAAAACCTGAACCTTACTGTTCCTAAAATCTTCGTGTTCCCTCATGACTTCCCAAGCACTCCTGCCGCCACAGAGTCTATTCTGCCTGTTAGGGGCCTGGTCGTTATGTTGGTCAAGTGAATCTGTCTCATCGTTGTCACAGAACCCGATAACCTGCAGTGATAAATATGTATCTCAACATCTTGACAGCACTGGATGGGTGAAGAAACATCACTAAAATAGTAGATAGTGCTATAGATATATCCTCTTTTGAAAATATCACTTATTATGACATCTCAACGATTTTATAACTAAAATATCATTTTCATTCAAACAGAGTCCATGAAGATGTAACATATCTCCCCTATGCAAATTTCTTTCATCCGAAATACAATACATTAAAATGTTTCATCAGTCGCGTTTGACTCAATAGACAAAGAAGTAGCAAAAAAAAAAGAGAAAAAAAGTTTCAATTACATATCCTGTGTCTATTAAAAACCTTTATATGCTAAGCATGTTTTGGCTTTTGGCCTTTTGAGTTGCATGATCTTTTTATCTTTATTCCAGCCCCTACCAAATTTGTCTCATTTAACGCTCAATCTGTACTAGAAAATGTTTTTCTCTTTTAATGAAAAAAGCCCTTAATCTGCTCTAGGGCATTCGATAGGACTTTCCAAAAACAGTTCTCGAACTGTTACATATATTACAGAACAACATTAGAACTGTAAAAAAAATACCCCAAAATATTATAGATTGAGGACTGTAAGTGAACGTTAAATGAGACATATTTTTGCAGGGGAGGATAAAAGACAAAGTGGTATCGTCCTGCACTTACAGATGTTACATAATGGTGTGACATGATAGAGGTGGTTCCCACGTTGTTGTATACATCAGGGGCAAACCTGCAACCACTTTCTGGGAGGTTGGTTTCATTATCCGGGTTGCAATTCCACACGAAACCGTCGTTAACTCTCTTATAGTCCTTGCCCGTCACTCCCCGGGAACAGCGTACGCCTTCTATTCTCTCAGAAATAGAATCGTGGTAGAAGTGAGGATCATTTTCGTCCACCGGGTACTCGTCAAACAAACCCCAGCGCAAATGTCCCCACTCATGGAGGACTGTCTTGGCTGAAATATGAGAGAGAGAGTGGTGAAGATACAGTGACCAAATATACTGTTGTCAATGTTTTATATTTACCAGACTCTCCTGTCAGAACTTTTATGGCAATATTGTATTTTTTCATAGGGGCCATTCCCAGACCCTATCGTACTAACTGTAGATTGATCTATCCCTAAGAGGATTGTCGCTAAATTGTAATCAACTGAAGCGGCTTAGATATCTGGCACACCTACTGTAGCTGTTAGGGGGTAGTTAACTACCAGTGTCGTTTAACAGTTTCTGTAGGCGTGCAAGACATCTTAGCCGCTTAAGCTGAAAGCAATTTAACGACAAATCGATCATATTAAATCAATCTAGATATGGGAACCCATGCAGTCATATACTACTATCATCAAAATCCGTACCGATTTCAATATTGACTGTCATATTTATGTATTTTTCTCTAGATTATGTCAGTGTGCATTTTGCACCACTGGCATCAGGTTTATCACACGTTTAGAACTCTTCTTATATTTTATAAAAGTTTTTAATGGACTTACCAGGAGGGGTCCCATATTGCCTTGCAACGGCATCATCTAGTATGAATGCTGGAGTCAAGTGCATAAACGTCCCCGGCTGTCCACATTCTCCTTTCTGTTTGACGTATGGGTTGTCACCTTGTACACCATTAGGCTTGTCTATAATCACATTGGCCTTTTCAAAGGCTTCAATTCCTGCCTGTTCGTACGTGGAGTTTTTCGTCCATGTTTTAGGAACTAGAATCGTGATGTTCCGGAGATAGGCACGCTTTTTAGTAGCAGTAAATAGTAACTGTGACATTTCGACGAAGTATTCCTACATAATTAATTAAAAAAGTTATTTGCCAATATAAATTTGAATAGTTTTTGCATTTGTCATGCATTGTCTTTTTTAAATAAACCACGTGCTTTAAATCGTGATTTTTATTAAATGAGCAAGTAAAAGAAACTATGATAAAACTACATTTTACTGAAATAGAGGCTTTTTCATATTTATTTTTATATACAATGATTCGGGCACGAAGATCGTGATTTAATATTTCTGAGAAACTAATACACGGTGCGTGGTGTCGCTGTGGAGCAAAAGTATGTGAGATACATTGTATGACATGAAATGTAATTGAATTTAAGGTAGCATATAAAGCGACTAGGATATTTTTAATAATTCTACCTGAGTCTTGTTTGGAAGGATAACAAATAATACAGACTGCGTCAACTGCATTATTGCACTAACAAAACGAGTGTATGCGGCCATGCATTTCAAGTTTCTTTTGACAACCTATGAACCTATGGATGACTTCACACAATAGTTACTTGAACCAATGAAACCCTCAGCCTTACTGAAAAAACATCAGTATGCTTACAGAATCCTTTAACCAAGATTACAACGGAGGGTCAAAATCAAAACGAAGTAATCTATAATTTGTGTTGTGATAAAGACCGCAAACAATGCCTGCACCTGACCTGCAATTTTACATTGGGGTCACTTTTAATAAATGTACGCTTTGCGACAGACCAGGAAGTGTAATGGGGTCAATATTGGGTAACTGCGGAAAGCAATATGATTGATTAAAAGCCCCTGTAACATAAATGCAGTCTTCGAAGCCCGCTGTCTTTATTTCCTCGACCATGCCACATTCTAAAAGCAATGAGAGGATGACTGCATGTCCCCTGTACTGTTATTTTTAAATACAACTTACTCGGTAATTTGGTGTAATCAAGCCTGTACCATAATCTAACTGAACAATTGTTAAGACGAATCGATGCAAAGAAAGCATCTCTCTCTCTCTCTCTCTCTCTCTCTCTCACACACACACACACACACACACACACACACACACGTACGCACACACGTATATCTATAATCCTGGTAGTGCTTTCAATGTAACTCAGCAATTCACAAAATGCGAATCAGCACATTAACAAATAAGCGTCAACACGGAGTACAGTCGCGCGCCATCATGTCCTCACAATGTCCTTGTCTTCCTTTCTTTAAGGTATACAAATAGATTCTCCTAATCCAAGTAAACTGCATTTCATGGCTTATAACCTCCACATGACCTAAATACATAAAAAAGTTCAACCTTTAAAAAATCACAACAGTCCTATATACTTACTTTGATTCTTGGAATGAGTTTAGAATTTTCAGGAATGTCTGGCCCGATTGCAATGAGAAGTCCTTCGTAGCCGTTGTCAATCAAAGTAACATTGGCGCGCAGCCTTTGGCCCCTTGCTAATGCCGTAAAAGACAGTAACAGGACCAAATGGGTTATATGACAGCGAGAGGCTTCCATCATTTCCGCTCATCTGAAAAGCCTTCTCTTGGCAAATGGCGACAGGGAAACATGTCACATCATGGCAAGGCACGTCGTGTTCAACTTGGAGTCCCACACGTGTATAAGAGATTGCATGAAAAGCACTCCAAATACCTTTACAACTGCAGCAGTGAACATAAAGTACAAAGCCAAATAAAACAACAATGGGCACCTTAACCCTAAAAAATGCAGTCAACAGAGATTGTGTTTCTTTAAATCGCGTATAATTTCAATGCAGTAGTCTTGCGAATTATTCTGACAAAGCCAAGTCATTCAAAGCGAGTTGTTTGAAAAAATTCGAAATATTTGCAGTACAACAATGGTCCATGTCCTTTATGCGAGCTCAGGTACAAAACACAATAGCTGTAGGATACCGAAAGTGAGAAATTAACTTATTTATTTTTCTGTTGACTAACTTTACATTTTGCACAAAAGCACCGTGGTGAATAAGCAATACACGCTCTAAACTGAATTATTTACTATCACCCTCACACATGCACAATTAAACAACCACATGTAACAATTCCATACTATAACAGCGTAGTATAAAGACAAACTGGTTATATTCCTGTATAGACATACAAATAAAACCAATATTAAAATATACACAGAGTTTTAGTGACATTTAAACAAAACATTGAGGGTTTTTATGCACTAACTGTATGTATGTATACAAAGACATGTATACTGCAGTGCTTCATAGATCTTAATGGAATTTTTTATTTACATTATTACTCATAATCATAAAAAATATTCTTGTCTATAACCCGTAATGCTACTTTTATAAAGAGACACATGTTGTAAGCTGTGTGTTGTTATAGTGCATAATGATCCTTGACGGGGAACATTTCCGTAGCATAAATGTACACGTCCCTTCAAGATGTATCTGAATTGTAACACAAAGTTGATCATTTCTCATACAAATCTAATACAAAATGAACACCTGCCGCCCCGTTAAAAGACAATTAACAAGAAAGTTCCAATCATGATTGTTCTTGATATTTAAAGAAGAAACTGTATTGATAATCAAACTGTTATAATCAAGGATGTTCTTGATGAAGTATAAATTCTATTTCAGCTTACAATTAACACCCTTGGTAATAGTCTATATATAATAACGTGTGGCACGCGCTTCCAACGTCTATCTTAAATACGTATCACTACTATAGGCGCATTCAAGCCAAAGGTTACAGATCACGTCCATCGTCATAAAGAAAAAAATAAATTATCCAATTGCCGACCAGCTGTAATTCAGGTTGGTGTGAGCCAGCGTAGAAAAAAGTGTAATAGTTTAATGAATGAATTTCATCAACAGAGTCTACTAATGGGAGAAATATCACTGGAAGCCGCTGACTGGATTGCCATCAACACTAGGAGGATAAATATAACTTCTTAACGCCACTTACTGGATAGTTATGATAAAAATAAAACATATTAGATTAATTAATATTGTTACAAGAGGTAGCTTAGGGACGCCTGGCTTCCTTATTCCACCTGAACATAGACCCGTTTTCAGTCCAGTTGGTCAGACACCCGTGTCTCTAAATCCGTCGTTATCTCTCCAATTTCGTTGTTTTTCCCTGTAAAATATGACATCAATAGATACAAAATGTTATTTACCAAATATCATCAATTTTTGTGTTCCTTGAAATTGAATAATTATATAATCAGGTACACATTTTTTGATATATATATATATATATATATATATATATATATATATATATATATATATATATATATATATATATGTGGGGGGGGGTTAAGACCATCTTTTCAAAAGCATTACATCTGAAAAATAAAATACAAGCTATAAACATGTGCAATGTCATTTTCTTTGCTACTTTGATTGTTTTCGAGTAAATATTTCGTGGAACTGGATAACTTACCCATCTGATCGACTTCTCCTACGAATGTGTATCCCTAGCGCAATAACTATACAGGTTAATATCAAACTGACCAAAACGGCAACCCCAGCTACGATATAACCAATAATACCAAACAGAGTGCTCTCCGGGGGCGATGATTTCATCATGCTTTTTTCAGTCACCATTTCAATCATAAGACTAGTTGTTGTAGCCACTGCTGGTGTTTTGAGTTCAGTTGCTATTGTGATTCTTTCAGTGGTTGCCTCTGTACTTGTTGCTATATCGGGGGAAGGAAAGGGGTTGCTGTAGACAAAAGAAACAGACACGATGTTTGACTTTGGCTCTGTTGTTGTGGCTTCCTGAGTAGTTGGCTCAGTTGTTGTGATCTCTAGAGTCGTTGGCTCAAATGTTGTGCTCGCTTGAGTCGTCGACTCAGTTGTTGTGATCTCTTGAGAAGTTGGCTCAGTTGTTCTTCCATGGGTCGTTGGTTCATTTGTAGTACTTTCTTGGGTAGTATACACAGTTGTTGTGGTTATTGCTTCAGTGGTTGCTTCCGTGCTTGTTACTGGCGCTGCTGGGGGTAACGGATAACTGTAGACAAAAGATACCGAGACGATATTCGACAATTGTCCTGTCTGATTTTTGTCATCTAATGCCAATAGCGCAATGAAATACGTGATATTTGATTTGACTGTTTGGTTGAATTGGACGAGAAAAGTTTCTTTTGCACCTGCTGGCAAGGGTGAATCAAGTTTTCCCTGGATAAGATCCTTGTCAAGGAGTATATATGTGTTACTGAAGTTAAGTCGGAGTTGTGAGACTGATGTGCTGTAGCGAATAATGTAACTCGATGCTGAAAGGAGGTAAATGAATTAGAATCATCTATATGGAACAAGCAGCTTATGTTCCTGTTTAACGTTTAGCTTTTTATACTGTTCATATAATGTAACTCGACACTACATTGTAGAATTATCGATCCTTTTTGACGGAGAAAAGTATTTTGTAATAAAATAGGCATTATCAGTGTCCTCTAAAAGTGTCTATAAATACTGTATCATGTTTTTTAAATGCATTTATACACTTATATTAAGAAACATGTTTTTCCTTTGCTGTGCCTATAACGTTATCGGCCTTTGAGGTAATCGTTTTGAATTGCAAGTAAATACATTAGTACTTTGTTCATATTTTCATCACAAGACAAATTCAACACAATAGAATTTTGTGTCGAACATATAACACATGTAACTGTGCATAACAATGAGATATGACACTTAGGCCTCGTTAATATGACTATTGAATGTGCCATTAAGGGACATGAAGCAAACAACTTCCTATACTTACCATTTCCTTGGTCCAGATCATCACCAGTCGCTGTCCAGGACAAGGTAACAGTTTTGTCCTCAGTGTTAACTGCTACCAGCACCAGGTCGTAGATTCTGCCAGGAGGGTACAGGTCAGGTGGTTCTGAACCAGACGTCGAAGTTGGGAGATTCTTAACGGTAAACAAACCTCCACTGTCAGAACGCTGAAATGGTTCTACAGGCTTGTAGGTGATATCGTCCTGTATGCTGTTTGCTGAAGCTGTAAATATAAAGGTCCTGTTGAATGTTATAAGCGGCAAACACAGAACATTATTTCAATGTTCCAATAAACGATAAACGGTATGGTATCTTAATGGTTATGGCGACAGGGAAACTATTGTGTTTATTTAAATCGCGTACAATGTCAATGCACTAGTCTTGCGTATTATTCTGACATTACAGGTAATAGCCAAGTCATTCAAAACGAGTTGCGTGAAAAGCTTCATTTCAAAATATTTGCAGTGCGATGATGGCTTATCTTCTTTATGCGAGCTCAGCTACAAAACACAAAAACTGGTGTGTACCTAGAGCGAGAAGTTAACTTATTTATTTTTATTTAGATGAAATTTGCACAAAAGCACCGTCTTAAATACGAATCAGCACTATGGGTGCATTCAAGCCAAAGGTTACAGATTACGCCTCCAGAAAACGATACACTACGAGACAGTGTAGGAAAATTGTGATAGTCTAATGAAGGGATTTCACCACCAGAGTCGAGAAATGGGAGAAATAGCATAAGAGGCCGATAACTGGATTGCTATTATGAATAGAGGAGGGTGATTGGATAAATGTAACCTCTTAATGCTGCTCTACTGGACAGACATAATCAAAGAACACAGATTAGATATATTTATATAATTACAAGAGGCGAATAATTATGGAATTCACGTCAATGTTGTAGGGACAATCTTCTGTCGCTTGATATATATTATGAAGAACTCAACCTTGAGTCCATGGAACAGAAGAAAGCGGTGGAAGAGTCGGGGCTTTTGAGTGAGTACACACAAAACGAAGCTTTCATTTTTGGGGGATAATTCACTTGGAAATAATAGCATTGATAACACCCACGAGAAGTTAAATTTACACATTTTGTTTTATGTTTGCATTGTTGGAGTACAGGGCATGATCTCACTTTTCTTAAGCAGCAAGTACTGTTAAAATTAAATAAAAAGAATAAAAAGACTAGGCTTCTAATTATAAGATTTTCGTTTTTTTAATTTTCGAAAAAATATGGAAAGCTGTTTGTGTTGATTTTCAGGTTATTTCGGTTTAACTTGTTTTCACCAAAAAGTAAATTTTTCAATCTATACTGCATCATCCGTTGTCAATCCTGGCCATAAAACCGACTTCTGTATTTCCTACGCGTTACCTCTTATATGGGTAAAACAATATGATTTTTAAATTTGTACAAACGCAATGACACTGTGTTAGAGATCTGAAATGCACATATTTTATTGGAAACCCTTCCTTCTTTCATCTGGGATATTTAGATTGTAAACAATTCAAATTGTGATTGAATTGCTAACTGTGACGCAAATCCTTCAATACCTTAATGCACACATTTTCTGTACGTCTATGCATTAATTTATCACCTGTACAAGTACAAAAGTGCATAACCTGTGTTCTACGTTCGTATTTACACATATACGTTGATAATATAGTATAGTATTCTGGTGATAATCCAGCTTTAATACATTTCTCGATTTAGTGTTTATGTATAAATTTTTTTTTTTGTACTGTAGCCGTGTTCTCGTGAAGCATATAGACCTTACAGTAGTTCAACTAAATGCTCTCATGTGCATGAGATATGAAAATTAAAGCCCAAAAAGAGAAAAATATCAATATTAATAAGTTGAATATCTAAATTGTAGTAATCAAATACAATTGTGAAATGTGGTATGCGTATGCAACATTTGGGTTTTCTTCTTCTCCATGCTGTCAATTTCGTAAAAATATCGATAAGCCGTCTTTCCAAATTTTCCATGACTTCTGTGATTGTGGATCAATTACTTTTCAATCATTTTAGTCATTTTACAAATATGTGCTAATAATAAATGGGTTTGATATTAAATGCATGGCCTGTGTTAACACCTCTGTTCTCTATGTAGTCACGAGTCAGCAGAGTAACATGACAATACTAGCACAATAGAACACCACACATGTTGTATTTTCATGATTTAAATAGTATCACGTGATCATTATCCTAATTCTCCAAACACATAATGCTTGTATCCCACGTACTTATTTGCAAAACGATTTGTATCCACTACTTGAACTAATATAAAAAAATTAAACTCAAGAAACACGCAAAACACACTAACTTTGTTAATACAACTTTTTGTCCAATACTATATCACTTCCAGATAATATATATATATATATATATATATATATATATATATATATATATGAATGTTCGATCTACTATTTGTTATACAAGCTACTTAACCATTTATACCGTTTTCTTACTTCAGGTACTAGGTATACCCAGTACGATTACTCAAACTCGATGCTGAACAGAGCTTTTGAGAAGCTCATAAAATAGAGATTACTTATAAATGGTGTACCGTGGTGATTCATTATCAGGCATATATGGATAGTTCCTTCCAGTCAGGTGTGTTAGGGGCATCTTGAGAGCCACTTGCGGAACCTCCATGCGTGGTTTTGTTGTCCGATCAACGACTGGTGGAGTGTTATTTCCAGTACTAGTAGAAGCCTGCGGTTCTCTAAACCCCCTCCAGTCTTGTGAGCCCCTGTTTCCATATTGGGACACGCCTGACGTGTATCCAGTATCCGTTCTTGTGTCATCATAATACGATTGTGGCCTATCCTTGGTCAGGTGGTCTGTCTCGTACGAGGGGTTGTAACGGTAGTTATTGTCGGTACGATTCGGATAACTTCGGGTCCCATATTCCACGTCCGATATCACCCCTGCACCGGGCAAGTTCGGGTGAAGATAATAATCCTCGTGCGGATGGATCAATGTACTATGGTATTGGCCGAGTAAAGGCGCTTCTTGATAATGGTTGGAAGTTGAAGAAAGAGGAGACCTGTAACTTGCATTTCTGGATTGGTAACTTGTTGCATTCAACTCTTGCGGCACAGAACTTTGGTTACCGATGTCTGGTCTATACGGTACCACCCAATCATCAGTGTTAAATGGGTTCTGAGAGCTCGTTTCCTCTTCTGGAATGGGGTCGTACTGGTACCTGTCATAGTTATTGGCACGTGACTTATACCGATTGGAGCTTAGCCTCCGACTAACAGGTTGGGGCCTGTTTTCAGTGGATTGCCCCCATGATGACGGCTCGGCATGTCTGTCACCCATGGCAAGAAAGCTATGGGCGTTACGCTTCTTTCTGTAGCTGTCGGTGTATATCGTCGGTTGGTAATTCTGGTTACTGAAGGCACTGTGCTGCGGTTCCGCTATGTTAAGGAATGAAGAGTCGTTATGAAGGGTAGGTTGCAGGTTCGTAGGGTTTAGACTATTGGTAGTATACAGATTTTCTTCGTAACTTGGTGTCATCGCCGTAGCTGCATTGTGGTGCCGTTTCTTCTGCACTGGACGGTTTGGTTCACCATATGAACCCTGCGTCCCTCTTCTGTAAAGTGGAGCCTCATCGAAGTCGGGATAAACGGTCGAAAAGTTTCTGGACGACATACTACTTTTCCGCCAGTTGGCATCATCCATCAACTGATATTGTTGGTGCATTGATAACGTCCGAGGTGGTATCTCCAAATCGCTTGGTGAATTTGTCTCTTTCGAATAGCGGTTTACTGATGGATAGAAATCTGACTGTTGAGAGTCATAGTTGGTGGTTATTGGTCTAGATCTGTCGTTTTGCTCAGGGGAATATGGCGACAACCAAGCATCTTGTGAGTCCATGCGGTAGTTTGGTAGATTGGCGTAATCACCAATACCAGAAGACGGGTCAGATTCTCTTTGGTAACGGTATCGCTGCTGTGTATCCTTTCTCCGTTCTGGGTGTTGGGGGTTCCTGTTCCATCCATCTTGGGAGTTAGTCTTCCAATAAGGCTTCGATTCTGACGCAATTTCAGCCTGTTCCACTGGGATATATCTGTTATATTTTCCAGAACTAACACGTCTTACACCAGGCATACCATGTTCTGTAGCATTCATGGGTGCTGAATATGTAGGAAATATTTGACCAACTGAAAGGTTGACGTATGTGTGCTCTTTGTTCACTGTTGATACTTTTTGGTTCGACCGCTCAGGATCGTTTCTGAAGTTGTAATAGCCATGCTGGCGAGGCACTTCAGTTTGCTTGACATCCGCCTTAAATTGACCTGGCGTATAGTCATGCGACACAATTCTCATTGGGGCATCCGGAAAGGAATATCCTGTTCTTTTTGATGGAGTGTAAGAGGCAAAGGCAGACCTGGAGTCTGACTTAACTTTGTCTTGCTTCGCTTGGTGAACATAGGGGCGTGATATTTTGTCCTCGTGTGGGAGTTGCCAGTAATTTCGGAATTCGTAAGGATTAACCGGATGGGCGTGAATGTTGTGGCCATCTTTAACTCCATCATGACGAGGATCAGGGGAGTGGCGATCTTTGGGTTTCGCTTTGTCTGGCCAGACTATAGCAACTGCTATCAACACAATAAGCACCAAGGCCACCGCCGCCGAACCAGTACCAATGGCGATTTGTTGAACGGAAGTGACTCTAGATCTGTCCGCATGTGTTAATGATGCGCCGGTTGTCGTGATATACAATGTACTTTCTCGAGTCATTGGCTCTTGAGTTGTTGGTTCAGTTGTGATCCAAGTCGTTCGCTCAGTAGTTGTGCTCTTCTGAGTCATTGGTTCAGTAGTTGTGATATATCGAGTCATTGACTCAGTAGTTGTGCTCTCCTGAGTCGTTAGTACAGATGTTGTAATCTCCTGAGTCATTGGCTCAGTTGTTGTTATCTCCTGAGTCGTTAGCTCAGTAGTTGTGCTCTCCTGAGTCGTTGGCTCAGTTGTTCTGATACTTTGAGTCGTTGACTCAGTAGTTGTGATCTCTTGAGTTGTTGGCTCAGGAGTTTCGATCTCCTGAGTCGTTGGTTCAGTTGTTGTGGCCTCCTGAGTCGTTGGCTCAGGAGTTGTTATTTCTTGAGTCGTTGGCTCAGTAGTTGTGATCTCTTGAGTCGTTGGCTCAGTTGTTGTGCTCTGCTGAGTCGTTGGCTCAGTACTTGTGCTCTCCTGAGTCGTTAGTACAGTTGTGATCTCCTGAGTCATTGGCTCAGTTGTTCTGATACTTTGAGTCGTTAACTCAGTAGTTGTGATCTCTTGAGTTGTTGGCTCAGTAGTTTCGATCTCCTGAGTCGTTGGTTCAGTTGTTGTGGCCTCCTGAGTCGTTGGCTCAGGAGTTGTTATTTCTTGAGTCGTTGGCTCACTAGTTGTGATCTCTTGAGTCGTTGGCTCAGTTGTTGTGCTCTGCTGAGTCGTTGGCTCAGTAGTTGTGATCTCTTGAGTCGTTGGCTCAGTTGTTGTGCTCTCTTGAGTCGTTGGCTCAGTTGTTGTGCTCGCTTGAGTCGTTGGCTCAGTGGTTGTGCTCTCTTGAGTCGTTGGCTCAGTTGTTGTGATCTCTAGAGTCGTTGGCTCAGTTGTTGTGCTCGCTTGAGTCGTTGTCTCAGTTGTTGTGATCTCTTGAGTAGTTGGCTCAGTTGTTCTTTCATGGGTCGTTGGCTCATTTGTAGTACTTTCTTGGGCAGTTGTGGTTATTGCTTCAGTGGTTGCTTCCGTGCTTGTTACTGGCGCTGCTGGGGGTAACGGATAACTGTAGACAAACGATACCGAGACGATATTCGACACTTGTCCTGTCTGATTTTTGTCATCTAGTGCCAATAGCGCAATGAAATACGTTATATTCGATTTGACTGTTTGGTTGAATTGGACGAGAAAAGTTTCTTTTGCACCTGCTGGCAAGGGTGAATCAAGTTTTCCCTGGATAAGATCCTCGTCAAAGAGTTTATATGTGTTATTGAAGTTAAGTCGGAGATGTGAGATTGAGGTGCTGTAGCGAATAATGTAACTCGATGCTGAAATGAGGTAAATGAATAAGAATCATCTATATGGAACAAGCCGCCAATGTTCCTGTTTAAAGTTTAGCTTTGTATACTGTTCATATAATGCACCACGACACTACATTGTAGAATCATCTATCCTTTTGGACGGAGAAAAATATTTTGTAATAAAATATGCATTATCAGTGTCCTCTAAAAGTGTCTATAAATACTTAGATTTTTTTATGCATTTATAAACTTATATCAAGAAACGCGTTTTTCCTTTGCTGTGTCTATAGCGTTATCGGCATTTGAGGTAATCGCTTTGAATTGCAAGTAAATACATTAGTACTTTGTTCATTTTATATCACAAGACAAAATCACCATTTCAGAATTTTGTGTCGAACATATAACACACGTGACTGTGCATAACAATGAGATATGACAGTTAGGCCTCGTTAATATGACTATTGAATGTGCCATTAAGGGGCATGACGCAAACAACTTGCTATACTTACCATTTCCTTGATCCAGATCATCACCAGTGGCTGTCCAGGACAGTGTCACAGTTTTATTCTCAGTGTTAACTGCTGCCAGCACCAGGTCGTAGATTCTGCCAGGAGGATACAGGTCAGGTGGCTCTGAACCAGGCGTCGTTGGGAGGTTCTTAACGGTGAACAAACCACCACTGTCCGAACGCTCGAATGGTTCTATTGGTGTGTACGCAACTTCAAGCTTCGTGGCGTTTGCCGCAGCTTTAAAATATCAACAGTTTTGCCAAAACGTTTGTTAAGGCACAAATTGGTAGACGGCATTCTTCTAAAATCGCACAATGAATCAAGTCTATACAGAAACGAGTTAAAAATGATATAAAACTTGCAAATTTGCACAAATGACAACTTTTGGATTACATGTATACGAGCGGATACCGCATATCACCTTGTCATGCTGCTTGCTGTCCTTATCCTGTGTATTTACAATTCATGACAGTGAATCTGTTATATAAGAATCGATCTAAAAAACTTTGGCGTTGTGCATTATAATCGAGCATACATGTACTTGAAACACAGCACCAAAATGAGGCTTACATGCAGCTATATTTGGTGACTGGAAATATATATAAATGTTAACATTTGTGCGTTTATTAGGCAATTTAAATATGCAAAAACTAGTTTATAGCTTACTTGTGTTGGTGATGATGGGTGATGCTTTTTGTCCACCAGCCACAGTCTTAACTGAGACGCCGTCTTCCCCTTTTACTACAACTCGCACAGAATGCTTTACGTTGCCTTCAAATTTTAGGAAATATGCCGAGTAGATGCCATCGTTCTTGGTATTATCCGCTCCTTTTTTTAAAACAAAAAAATGTAAGATTTATATTTCTAATTATTGCCTAAAAGTATGTGTTAAGCTAAGCAAGTTTCCAATCCCAAAAGACTAATTTTAAGAATTCATTTATATCAATTTTGGATTTTCGTAAAATTGTAAACTAGCTTTTTCGAACAATGCATTATGTTACACTGTTCCTATGTTAAAAAAAACATGAAATACTAATTAGAAACGCTGTATTAGATTTTATAAAGTGCAATGATGATCATGGAAGCATTATTCGAACTGAAAAAACAAAGACGTATATTCACCTGCCCCGTTATCAAGCAGTTGTAATGTGTGGGTATTCCCAGTGCTTGTGTCAACATAAGCCACCACAGTGGCGCCAACTACCGGTGTGTAGCCTTGAGTAACCTCTCCGTATATGACAATGCGGGACAAACTGGGATCTGGAACAAACATTCTTAATGTCACTATAGAATGAAGGATATGCGTTGGAATTGGGGAAAAAGGTTGCTTGGCAGAATTTAGGGCTAAAGTCTCCAGTTGTTATGCCTCATCAGTTATAACAATTCCTGAATGGTAAAGCGCACACTTAAAAATCAAACATAAAAGGGAACACATTTGAATGTCGGAATGGATTCATTTACTATAAGTAAACATGGGGAAAATCCCGAGGAAAATCCATTCTTGACCAAAATGAACAGTTGATATCCCCTGAAGCTTAGTTCTGCGCTGACCCGTCTAAGGACGTGCGTGTGTGTGTCAATTCAAGGTGCAGTATTTAGTTTGGAAAGCTAAATTCCAGCTTTACCTGCAATATCCACGGTATCACTGCTCACACTGGCACTCAATACAATGGGTGCAGCGTCTGAAGAGGGACGTGAAGAGACCTGGACCTGGACTGTTGTGTTTCCGGAACCCGAGTTGGTGACAGTATAGTGCCATTTCCCGACCTGTTTAAGAAAGTACATTTTGGTGAAAAACGAAGTACATATAATTTATTGCAATGTTTCGCTTTCAGATGACAAAGTATATAAACAAAAATTGGTACATGAACAGGTGACCTCCTTTACTTTCTTTTGCTTGGGTACACTCTTCTGGCATATCAATTCTTAAAATGAGATTTTACATTCCACAATAAATACGTTGTAAATAACACATAAAAATATAATAAACTCACCACCAAAACGGCGGTGAGTGTACTTATTTTGAAAGTTAATACGCTTGTGATCAGACCAGTTGGACTTTCTAGATGGCTGCCCTACGTAATGCTCACTTTAAAAAACATGGAATTTGGGAACGAATTCATCAAACATTTGAGAGCATGGGGAATTTCACGTTTACTCCAGGAAAATCCTTTTAATGGCACTTTTCCCGTCAAAATATAGACTTGTCATCCCTTTAATTAAAATCACCCCATTTTTTACAATACTAACAGGAGTTTATCTTCCAGTCGCCGTCTCTGAATTTCTTTCTATATGAATCGAAAATAAACAACGATATGTATAATTGTATCAAAACTGGAACTTAATTGTCACCATATACTCTACCTGTGCAGTGCCGTTAATATCAATACTCAGTAGGCCTACTCCGGACCCACTGTTCTGCGTTATGGTCACATTGTCAGGTGCTCTCAATGTCACAGTGATCAAACCAGTGCTCCATGTAAACGTAAACCGTGTGTTGTTTCCAATAGTACTGTCAATATATATGGAACCTTCAAAAGAGCTACCTCCATCGGGGACTGTAAACGATTCTGACAATATCTGTAATTGAAATATACATTTTCAGATGAAGTGCTACGGAAGCCAATAAGGCAATTTGGGAGCATATTAAGAGCTATGAGACCCATTATAGAGTGGCCTGAGACTTGTGGGAATTCGCCTCTACTCTGCAGTTATTCAAAAAATAAAAGCTTAGATTTTCCAATTTATTAATAAAAGGTATTATCGTTTGTTAGCATTTAGCGCCTCCTACGGCAGCCGTGCTGTATCGTCCACAGGAAGGCGAGAGCGTCAACACTCAGTCTGTATCTTGGCCAAAAATGAACAAGCATCCATTGTAAAATTCCTTTCATGTACAAATTCAATCCAATGTGTTGCAATTCTGTAGTTATCATTATTTATTATTTATGACACAGGCACTACATTTACCTGGACTAGAACTTCTTTCTGGGCACTGTTTCTTTGAGTAATAGTCTTCGAAAATGCGTCTGTTAAAGAAGTAGACTGAGAATCTCCTGATTCAAAGAACGACATGCCACCAGTGTCTTTAGCTAACGATATCAGTTCTATGTCAGCCGAATCTGTTAAAAGTAAGGTATCTACTAAGACTTCTTTCTGTTTCAGGATTGGTTTAATTTCCCTAATGTATGGACTAATATTTTCCTCGCCATCACTAACAACGACCAAAATACCACCAGCTGCCGCCATGTTGTTGTTTTCTAGCACCTGGTTGAATACAAATCAGCATTTATCAGTATATGTAAATGTCAGTACTGGTGTCTTATACTCAACTGCTATAAATGAGATATTCAAAGTGGATGTAACAACAAAACTGAGCAAAAACACAATTACTTTATTTGAACACACTTGTACAGGCAAAAGTTGTAAGGGTAATAGTGACAACATCACAGCGGTGTCATGGCATTATACGTCCGTTATTATGAACTGGTTGTATTTTTACAACTACGATCAATATTTGATATAACCATATACATATATAAACAACCTACTTATACAGAGGAATATGGTATCGACTTACATTTATGCCTTCTTGGAGACCACAACCAATGCATGTCCCTCCCCCGGCAGTTAGTCCATTAACAATGGAAACCATGTCTTCTCTCACTGATCTAGAACTCATAGTCGTTAGATACTTCATTATGGTAGTGGATTGATCGTAACTAAATTTAACTATACCAACTTGGCTCTCTTCGTCAACAGTGTTGAGTAGAAACTCTGTACACGCCTTCTTCAGGTTCTTCAATCTGTTGTCCTAAATTGTTGATTTAAGTGAGCTTAAGATATGAGAAAATGTTTAAAATACTTCTGAAATTTATATAAGGAGGCCTTTCCTTTTTCATTTTCTTTGGTTTGTTTTATCTATTTATTGAATAATCGTCGTATCGGTCCTGTCTTGTATGTGCGGTGTACAATACAGCGACCGTGACGTCACAGCTTTGGCAGCATTTATGGGGCCATAATAAAATTGGGCGGATTGTCAGTGCACAACTAATACAATTGCAATTGGATGAGAGTTGATGAATGCATTTAACTAATTCATACGAGTCAAATAAAGTAACACATTGTGTGAATATATGTGCGCGTATTGACATTAAAAGAATTAATTTATACAGTTCAGACGATATAGGACACCTACATTCGCCATACTTCCGGAAACGTCGAGAACCAGTACATATCTCTTGGGCTGCTGTTGAACCACTCTGAAGGTAGGCGTTGTATCTATATCACCTTGTACGGGGGGGTTATTATCTAATTCAATGAAATATAAATACCACTATATTTATATTCTGCTTGATCAGTAAATCATTATTTTTCAGGTGAGCTGGGTATGAATTATGTTTGATATGCTCTTTACAATTACCGGGCCAACGTACTAGTATACCTGCAACTTTTTAAAGCAAAATCCCCTTTCTCTTTTCATTACAGAAATTGAATAATATTCAATTAATATTCATTCCGACCACAAAATCGTTAACGATATTCTAGTGGATTGTCATTATTACTACTGCTTTTGCGAAATTTAAAACCTGAACCTTACTGTTTTCGAAATCTTCGTGCTCTCTCATGACTTCCCAGGCACTCCTGCCGTCACAGAGTCTATTCTGCCTGTTAGGGGCCTGGTCGTTATGTAGGTCAAGTGCATGTGCTTGTGCATCATTGTCACAGAACTCGATAACCTAAAATAATAATTGTTCATCTTAAGTTCTTGACAACACTAGATGGGTGCAGAAACATCACAAAAAAGTTGATAGTAGTGTCTCCTTACGACAACTAAATTATTCTATAAATAAAGGGTCATTTTCATTCAAACAGAGTTTATGAAGATGTAGCATATCTCCCCTGTACCCCTTTCTTTCATCTAACATACAATACAATGATATATTTCATCAGTTGCGCATGCATCCCCTGTGGCTATTTAAAACCTAACCACAATGCCCATGCCTTTGGAGCATTTTGAGTTGCAAAATGTTTTTATCGTTATTCCAGAATCAGACAATATAGAAAAAGCAGCGTGGCCCTGTACTTACAGATTCCACATAATGGTGTGACATGATAGAGGTGGCTCCTTCATTTCCCTTCACATAAGGGGCGAACCTGCAAGCACTTTCCGGCAGGTTGGTCTTTTTATCCGGGTTACAATTCCACACAAAATCGTCGTTAACTCTTTTATACTCCTTGCCCGTCACTCCCCGGGAACAGCGCACGCCTTCTATTCTCTCAGACATGGAGTCATGGTAGAAATGAGCATCATTTTCGTCCACCGGGTACTCGTCAAACAAACCCCAGCGCAAATGTCCCCACTCATGGAGGACTGTCTTAGCTGAAATATGTGAGAAAGTGTTGAAGATATAGTGACTAAATATATTAAATTTTTATCTATGTTTTATATTTACCACCCCTCTCCCTGTCAGAACTCTTATGGCAATAACGTATTTTTTCATATACTCGTTTCATTAAAATTTGCACAGATTTCAATATTGACTGTCATGTTTATGTATTTTTTTCTAGATAATAACATTGTGCATATAGCTACACCAGTCAAGGCAGATTTCGCACAATAGTTTTTAATAGACTTACCAGGAGGCGTGCCATATGCTGCTGCCACGGTGTCGTCTAGTACAAATTTGGGAGTCAAGTGCATAAACGTCCCCGGCTGTCCACATTCCCCCTTCTGGTTGACGTATGGGTTGTCACCTTGTACACCATTAGGCTTGTCTATGATCACATTGGCCTTTTCAAAGGCTTCAATTCCTGCCTGTTCGTACGTGGAGTTTTTCGTCCATGTTTTAGGAACGAGAATCGTGATATCCCGGAGATAGGCTCGACGTTTTGTACCAGTAAATAGTAGCTGTGACATTTCCACAAAGTATTCCTACAGAAATAACAAATATATTGTATTTTCCTAAAATAAAAATTAAAATAGTTTCAGTATCATATATTGTCTTTTGCAAATAAACCATACCGCTTTACCTTGTACTTTGAATCCAATTCTTTATTTCATTCGATCCTGTGTCACATTTTCTGAATTTTGTTAAATGAGCAAGTGAAAGAAACGATAGTCTGGTAAAACTACATTTTACAATTAAATATTTCTGAGATACTAAATTATGTATTACACGGTACGTTGTGTCGCTGCGGAGCGCAAGTATGAGATTTATTGCAGGCCCGTAACTAACAATTTCAAAGGGGGGTCTTTTTCAGAGAAAAAACAAACCTACTTGTGCTTTATTTTTATTTTTTCATAAAAGAAAAATAAAGACAAGGTTTGGCAGATTTAAAATCAGATCAATTTACCGAAAGTTAAAATTACAACACTTGAAGAAAAGGGTGGAAGAGAAAAAGTGTTAACTACAGGCCTATATATTTCATAAACCAGGAAACAATATTTTGCTATTATAAAAAAAAACACTAAAATATAACCATAAATGTTATAAATGTTGCCATGAGCAGTGTCATTTCCTTCAATGATTGGCACGAAATGGCATGAAGTATAATTGAATCTAAGGTAGTATATAAAGCGACTGGGATGTTTAACAATTCCCCGTGAGCCTTTTGTTGCGGACGTCTAGTTTGGAAGGATAACAAATAATGCAGACTGAGTCAACTGCATTGTTGCACAAAACAAAATGCAGTGCAAGCATATAACTATCAAGCCAAGCATTTAAATATTTTTCTTTTGACAAGGAGCCCAAGCTTTCTTTTGCAAACTATGAATGACTTCACACAATAGTACCTTGAACAAATACATTTTCAGCCTTACTGAAAAAAAACATTTATATGCTTACAGATTAATTTAAAGCAAGATTACAACGGAGGTTTAAAATCAAAACGAATAAATTGGGTAATTTGTGTTGTGATAGCGACCGCAGACAATGCCAGCACCTGACCTGCAGTTTTACATTGGGGTCAATTTAATAAATGTACGCTTTGTGACAGACCAGGAAGTGTAATGGGGTAAATACTGGGTAACTATGGACAGCCATACAATGGGTTAAAAGCCCCTGTAACGTAAATGCACTGTTTTCGAAGCCCGATGCCTTTTTTTCTTCGCCCTAACCACATTCTAAAAGCACGTAGAGGATGACTGCATAACTAAACCTAAATATAATCTGTAATGTTATTTTTAAGAAAACTTACTCCGTGGTTTGATGATGTCAAGACAAATCAATACAAAGAAAGCAGGCGTTTTCTCTCTCTCTCTCTCACACACACACACACACACGCGCGCGTGCGCACATACACACACAAGCATTTGTATAATCCTGGTGGTGATGTCAGTGTAACTCAGCAATTCACAAAATACCAATAAACACGTTAACAAATAAGCGTCAACACGGAAGTACATCCATGACTTCACAATGGCCTTCACTGTCTTCCTTTTTTTTCAAATAATATTAAAAAGACTTAAGACATACAAATACATTCTCCTTATCCAAGAAAACTGGGTTTCATGACTAATAACTCAATACATAAAATAATGTGGGTTTAGGGTTCGGGTGGGTATAGATATATAAACGTTCAACCTTTACAACGTCACAACATTCCTGTATACTTACTTTGATTCTTGGAATGAGTTTAGGATTTTCAGGAACGTCTGGCCCGATTGCAATGAGAAGTCCTTCGTAGCCGTTGTCAATCAAAGTAACATTTGCGCGCAGCCTTTGGCCCCTTGCTAATGCCGTAAAAGACAGTAACAGGACCAAATGGGTTAAGTGACAGCGAAAGGCTTCCATCACTTCCACTCATCTGGAAAGTCTTCTCTTGGCAAATGGCGACAGTGAAACGCGTCAATTCATGACGAGGCCTCGGCACGTCGTGTTCAACTTGGAGTCCCACGCGTGCATTAGAAAGCTTGCATGAAAAGTTCGCCAACTTTGTAACTACAGCAGTTAACATAAAGTTCAAAGCCAAATAAAACAACAAAGGGCACTGTAAGCTTTAAAAAACGCAGTCAACAGAGATTGTGTTTATTTAAATCGCGTATGATTTCAATGCACTAGCCTTGCGTATTATTCTGACATAACAGGTAATAGCGAAGTCATTCAAAACGAGTTGTTTGAAAAGCTTTATTTCGAAATATTAGCACTGCAATAATGGCTTATTTTCTTTATGCGAGCTCAACTACAAAACACAATAACTTCAGTGTACCCAGAGCGAGAATTTAACTTATTGACTTTTTCTGTTGACTAATTTTACATTTTAGACAAAAGCAACTTGCAGAAAAAGCAATACAAGCTCTTAACTGATATATTTACTATCACACACACACACTTAACATAACAGAACATAACATGAAATTTCTATATGACAACAGGGCAGTACTTGTTGTAGCCACTTGCAATACTCACACACAACAACAACAGCTTTGCGTCGTTTTTACTGATTTATTAAACCGTCAACTGAAAAAATAATTGAAATAAAATAAGAAATTCATCTCATATTCTTGCCCTAGTTCTTTTATATAATGCTATTAAGTCGCTTAATTAACATCTTTACTTAACAGTTGCATGTTATCCTATCTTTATCTCCAAAATATAAGTAACTCTTACCGACTTTGGGCTATTCTAGTGTAATGCAAGCGACTGGGTTCTAAATGATTGTGTAGTAAATCTCATCTGGCGCAACTAACACAATGAAAAAATACGCTTTTAAAAAATAACATTGATTACCAACATAAAACAAACAATCTTTAACTCACAACTAGTACAGCTACATTCTCGTTTCTAAACAATACACTACACTTTACTGAACTTTCTTTACTCCAATACTGAAAGGCACAGTGATTGTGTTACATGTACTGTGCATTGTACATCAGACCGGCATTTCTAACGCTACTCAAAGTTGCAGTTTACAATGGAAAACTAATTTTATCTTCTCGCAATTATCTTTAAATGAACTTTCATAACTTAAAATTAATTGCTAACCTTATGGGCCAGATTCCTGTTACAAAAACACTTTAATATCNGCACAAAGACATACTTATAAATTCTTACTATCTGGGCTGATGCAAGCTGCATTGTTAATATTTTACAAAAATAAATTCTCATAAGATAAGTAATTAAAAAAATATTAACCAAATCATATATAAAAGGTGAAGTATTGGTGTGACATGTAAGAGTGTGATTAGACTAGTTTCTACTGCATTTCTATTTAGCCTGTATCTTTTAACAACGTAAAGTTTTCAGTGTGTGTATAATGGTATATTACAATTAAAGTGCTGATGCATCACACAACCTGCTTGCTTTTACATATAGTTGAATTTTGCTTCAAGGCTTTCTCTGTTATACAGATGTTTCATAATTCTTGCTAGTTGGTGCTGTCTTTTACACGCCATGCTCTTAAAGAAGATGGCAGACTTTCTCTTCCATGAACTTTGATATGTTGGCATGTCAAGTCTGACATAAGTTTCCAGCCCTCAAGTGAAAGATAACCAGATTGGTGGTATTGAAGCAACTTTTCCAATGCTTTCATGGAAAGGGACTCTTCTTTTTCAAAGATTCTTTTCCATGCAGCCATTCCCCTGTCATCATTTGAACTGAATTCTATTGGCGTTCTATGAGAAGTATATACATACAATCTTTGAGAAGTCAAGTGGTGCATAAATATGTCAGTTATGGTATGCATCATGTCCATATCACATGAATTAGCATGACTTATTCCATGTACTCGCACATGCTGTGACAGCAGATCTAGGAATATTGATTTTAGGATGTCCTTAATAGTTTGATGCTGACAAAACTGCTTCAGAACACTTTCTGATATGAACTTGTCTTTGGCTAAGATATCCATGCACCTTAACTGCTCTGTGTCTGTAATGTTCTTGTTTGTGAAATAATAATGTAACAGAATCACAGCATTTCTTTCTGCAGCTTTGTTACAACTTCCATGGACCTCTGCATGCTGTGATAGCACATCCAGAAACAATGTCCTCTCCACTGCTGACAGGGTTCTGTATTTGTGGGTCTGGTAAAGTTGTTTGAGCACTTGTTTAGATGTCCACCTATCCTTGGCTAAGATTTGCATACATTTTGACTGCTCTGAGTCAGTAATGTCATTACTTGTTAAGAAATTTTGCAACAGAATCACAGTATTTCTTTTTGCACCAGAATAAAATCTACCATGGACCTCTGCATGCTGTGACAGCACATTCAGAAACAATGTCCTCTCCACTGCTGACAGGGTTCTGTATTTGTGGGTCTGGTAAAGTTGTTTGAGCACTTGTTTAGATGTCCACCTATCCTTGGCTAAGATTTGCATACATTTTGACTGCTCTGAGTCAGTAATGTCATTATTTGTTAAGAAATATTGCAACAGAATCACAGTATTTCTTTCTGCACCAGAATAAAATCTACCATGGACCTCTGCATGCTGTGACAGCACATTCAGAAACAATGTCCTCTCCACTGCTGACAGGGTTCTGTATTTGTGGGTCTGGTAAAGTTGTTTGAGGGCTTCTTCAGATGTGCCTTCATCCTTGGCTAAGATTTGCATACATTTTGACTGCTCTGAGTCAGTAATGTCATTACTTGTTAAGAAACATTGTAACAGAACCACAGCATTTCTTTCTGCACCAGCATAATAACATCCACCATGGACCTCTGCATGCTGTGACAGCACATGCAGAAACAATGTCTTCTCCACTTCTGACAGGGCTCTGGAGTTGTGGGTATGGTGAAGTTGCTTGAGCACTTCTTCAGATGCACCTTTATCCTTGGCTAAGATTTCCATACATTCTGACTGCTCTGAGTCAGTGATGTCATTGCTTGTTAAGAAATATTGCAACAGAATCACACTTTTTCTTTCTGCACCAGAATAATAACTACCATGGACCTCTACATGCTGTGACATCACATTCAGAAACAATGTCCTCTCCACTGTTGACAGGGTTTTGGATTTGTGGGTCTGGTAAAGCTGTTTGAGGACTTCTTCAGATGTGACTTCATCCTTAGCTAAGATTTGCATACATTTTGACTGCTCTGAGTCAATAATGTCATTACTTGTTAAGAAACATTGTAACAGAACCACAGCATTTCTTTCTGCACCAGCATAATAACATCCACCATGGACCTCTGCATGCTGTGACAGCACATCCAGAAACAATGTCTTCTCCACTTCTGACAGGGCTCTGGAGTTGTGGGTATGGTGAAGTTGCTTGAGCACTTGTTTAGATGCATCTTTATCCTTGGCTAAGATTTCCATACATTCTGACTGATCTGAGGTTTTATAGTTTGTGTGTAGGTCCTGTCTCTGATAGACATGTAACAATAGACAATAGGCAGCAAGACCAACTCCTCTACCACTGCAATGTTTAACCAGGTTAAAGACTAAAATTTTCAGTGAATCTCTCCCCTCTTCACTGGGATGCATTTTGATTTGTTGAAGAACTAACTTCAGCAATGTTAGTTTTCTAGCAAGTATTTTTAGAAGTTTTGTGTTTCCATCATTCTTACTAAGTTGCTTGATAAAGATTTCAGCAATGACCAGCCAGGTTTTGAGTTCTTTTTTGGGTGTCTGTGACAGAAGTTTCCAGTTTTCACTTAAATGTAATGTATTATCTCCTTCAGCATTATGTAACAGTTCCAACAGCTCTGATTTTAGAAGACTGGCGAAAACTTTATGTTTTGGGGAGGCAAGTTTTAAAATATTTTGCTTCAAATTTCTGCACACCATAGCATTTTCATTTGAATCACAGCCTACACAAAGAAGCATGGAAGCAAGCTTTTTCTGTTCAACTTCGTTTAGTTTTGTCAATAGTTCAGGAGAAAGTTCTAGCAATTTTACAATATCCTCCACATGTCTCTTGTCCTCTGGGGGGTTTTCTGATGAAAGCAAAGACTGGAGCTTTGCTACACGGAGTGATTCTTCATTTTCAGAGCTTTGTTCATAATTCAAAGTCTCTAAAGTTTCATCAACTTCACTGTCATGATGATCAGCTTCTTCATTACCTCGATTTCTCTCTCCATACCCATCATCATTGTTCTCAATGTTAGCACTTTGTTCTGGGTGTTTTTTATCTCCATCTTTTATTGGTGCATGACAGCTTTTTTCTTTCTGACACTCTTTATCATCTGAAAAAAACAAACATTTTTTTGGATTCCATTAATATGTGCACAAATGAAATTAAATGAGACGGTCAAGTTCTCATCATTTTGAAAACAACACAATTAAATCTTTCAAGTACTCATATCTTATAGTTATGTATTTGTGAATCCTTTTTCTGTTTCATAAATTTATAGTCTCAATATAATGTGTAGATAAACAACTGAAGAGTGTGACCTTTTCTATTGGCATGTTTGAGTTTATAAGCTCTATATGAAAACATGTCTTAATTAGATAAAAGCCACTTTAAAAAATTACCTGAATTACTTATTTTGTTTCCAAGACATATTTCACTGTTGATACTGTCATTGTCCTCACCAGAGTCATATTTTTCATAGTCTTTATAACTAGCATCAGAAGACAAGGTGTCACATACCATTGGTCTTTGAATAAGTTCATGACACACTGGGAGACTTTCCATTGTTAGTAGATCAACCACAGTCTCTGTAAGTATATATAATATAGATGGCTATGAAGAATTAGTTGCAGTTGTTACCTGTATAAAACCGAAAAATATAATAGTGTTTCATAATAGTTAATAATAGCTGTGACAGCACATATTTACCACAATTGATGACCCACCATGATTATGTATATTTAACAAATAAATAGATAAAAAGAAAAATTATTAATAATAGAATTCAGAGTACATAAACTGATACACATTGGGATGGGTGTCACTGTTTACCCACCCTGAGCTTCAGAGATAACTTGCCACTAACCTCTTCACTATAGCCTATCTTCATCGTGTCAAGTTACCTCTGACCACATTCGATTGCCCCCGCCGCCCGCCAATCAAATTTAAAGCCCGCACTCAATGACTCATTGAACGATCTAGCCAATGAACGCGAACGAGTCAAAGCGCGCTTTGTTCAAATCCGGACCAATCAAAGATAAGGCTGAATATCAGGGACTTGCCGTAACCTGTGGGCAGCACGCAAAATACATCATCCCTCAGCAGATAATGATGCAGGGCCTCAAACTGCTCTGGTTTCAATTCCGATATACTCATATTTTGCAAAGAATCAAGAGATAACTTAACACATTATTTTACGTAGTCACTCGTAGGAGACGCCATGCTTTCTTCGTGTTCGGTTATGCACTCTGAACTACTCGGATGTCTCCGCACTCGACAATAACTTTGTTGTTAGTATGGAGCTTGCGGAATCAGCCGAGGATTGCCGATTGACGGTCAACCAATCAGCGTTTTCACCAAACTTTGGTGAAAAATTTTGAAACATGGATTCGATTGGCTTATATAAACTAGGTCAAACTATTTTCGTCAGAGGTAACTTGACACGATGAAGATAGGCTATAGTGAAGAGGTTAGTGGCAAGTTATCTCTGAAGCTCAGGGTGTGTTTAGTACACTTTTCTGTATAATTTAAAAACCAGTAACACTCAGCTGAAGTATATTTCTCACCAGCAAATGTTGGTTGATGCATCATGTACAAAGCAGTAAGCAGTTGTGCTGTGATTTGTTCAACAGGTTGGTCATAGTTCCTCTCTAGGAAACTTTGTAAGCATTCTAAACACTGTGCTTCTTCTTCATTAGGGTGCTGGGACACAATGGCTTCTCTATCTTCCTCTGTAAACTTTAAATGTAAAGCCAACTCCTTCCACATGCATGACACACGGGTTGATATGTCTTCAAATATGGATCCCCAAACTTCACACTGAAATTTGAAAATACTTATGAGAAAAGTGGTAACTGTAAAAAGATATGATTGGATAAATGTACACTCAAGTATTGCATGATTTGCTTGCAAGGATTATGTATTTTGATTTAGATGTTTTGGCTTTTCATATATAAAAAAATTATTTGATTCCTATATATAAATTACCATTGTAGCAGTTTCTTTTTCTGACTTCATGATGTGGTAACTCTTTTGATAAGTTACTGTGCAAAATTCCTCTTCAATGTTTTGCTCAACAGTCAGTGGCCTCTCTTGCTTTATTTGACTGCCAGATGTAGAGGGCAATTCTACATTGGTTTGGGTTTCTGGTTCTCCTACAACAAAGGATTGATAGTTGATAGATTTAAAAGCACATTTTGGTAACACTGATTATAAAAAACAAATGTTAACAAATATATATCACCTGGGTGGTGTTAAAAAAATACTTTTATACTGAATTTTGTTATTGTTTTGTATTCCAATCAATTTTAAAGTATTGGTTCATTCATTGGAAAGTTCCTTAGTTATATACTTGCAGAAAAGCAGATACAAAGAAAATTATTTTTCAAATCTTAGCAACAGTGTACAACTAAGAATTCAATCAAATTAAATTGTATTTTAGTTATTAAATAACCTAAATGGCATTATTATAGAGATTTGCTGTTTTCTGAAGACAACTCATATTTTACACACTTAAAGATGCAGGCAGCCTCTCACTTTGATTTCAGAGGTGCTGTGAGAGCAAAAACATACCTGGGTTTGTGAAAAATTCCCAGGCTGTAGCCAACTCCTGTTCACAAATGTATACATCAACATACAGCATCTCTTCTCCCTCCATCTCTTCAAGTTCTTGGGTGATGTATTCATTTGTCAGAAACTTAGATAAATCCCCAGACTTATACTCTGTCCAGAAACTTTGTAACTTCTCTGCAGCATCAAACATTAACACACACTCCACACAACCTTCATTCAGTTTGATTAAATGTGCCCCTCTTTTGATGAAATAGTCAGCTGCCCTTTTGAACTGAGCAAGGTCTTGGAGCATTTCTCTTGTAAAACACTTGTTTGCCTTTTTGGCGATCTCTTTTGTTTTCCAGTATTTGATATGCAATTTAGCATGAAGAACTAAGAAAAAGAAAACATTTATAAGAACTTTTTCTTGTATGAGTGATATAGTCACATATATTTACTCAAGGTACTTGATTTTGATTAAAGTGTGTAGTTATGGAAGACAAATAATAGCGTATGATTTTTATCCTTTTTTCTTAAGAAAATAGAAATCTAATATAATTATATGATCTTGCTGTAACTGTTTTCTATAAGAAATTTTCATTTTTTTAGATAAAAGAGACACATACCTTTTCCCTTCTGGAAGTTTTTCTTGTCATGCTTTGAGGATTTCTCTTGTTTTAAATTTTTAGGCTTAATGAGTTTCATGGCTACATTTTCCATTTCATCAACTGTTTTTGTTAGTTCCTCATCACTGTCAGATTGTTCATACTGCCATTTTGCTATTTTGATGCAACTATCAAAATTCTTATGCCCGAGGTAATTCTTTTCTGGAAATAAAGACAAACATAATGTCATGTATGTACATATAATTAACTGAAAAAGTACTTGTCACTCAAGTTGATATTTGTCATTATTATTATTGTAGCCACTTGCAGTACTCACACACAACAACAACAGCTTTGCGTCGTTTTTACTGATTTATTAAACCGTCAACTGAAAAAATAATTGAAATAAAATAAGAAAATCATCTCATATTCTTGTCCTAGTTCTTTTATATAATGCTACTAAGTCGCTTAAATAACATCTTTACTTAACAGTTGCATGTTATCCATCTTTATCTCCAAAACATAAGTAACTCTTACCGACTTTGGGCTATTCTAGTGTAATGCAAGCGACTAGGTTCTAAATGATTGTGTAGTAAATCTCATCTGGCGCAACTAACACAATGAAAAAATACGCTTTTAAAAATAACATTGATTACGAACATAAAACAAACAATCTTTAACTCGCAACTAGTACAGCTACATTCTCGTTTCTAAACAATACACTACACTTTACTGAACTTTCTTTACTCCAATACCGAAAGGCACAGTGATTGTGTTACATGTACTGTGCATTGTACATCAGACCGGCATTTCTAACGCTACTCAAAGTTGCAGTTTATAATGGAAAACTAATTTTATCTTCTCGCAATTATCTTTAAATGAACTTTCATAACTTAAAAATTAATTGCTAACCTTATGGGCCAGATTCCTGTTACAAGAACACTTGTAATTACGGCTGTCTCAGCATCTAATATCAGCCGATCTCATTCCACGTGGAATCACATTCTATCCCATCATTATCATGAGCGTGCTAAAAACAATTTACTCAACACCGATTAACATCTTGTTACTCAACACCGATGCGACAAACAAGTGAGTAGCGCGTCCAAAGTAAAGAAATAAGATTTATCTATAAAACACTGCTCTGGCAGTAACACTCCCCAGCCAAAATCTAATTGATTTTCTATACAAACAAACAAAACTAACTTACACATGAAACAATGTAACTGGTAAACTGTAACTGTTAACTCACTATACAATAGNTTTAACTCACAACTAGTACAGCTACATTCTCGTTTCTAAACAATACACTACACTTTACTGAACTTTCTTTACTCCAATACTGAAAGGCACAGTGATTGTGTTACATGTACTGTGCATTGTACATCAGACCGGCATTTCTAACGCTACTCAAAGTTGCAGTTTACAATGGAAAACTAATTTTATCTTCTCGCAATTATCTTTAAATGAACTTTCATAACTTAAAATTAATTGCTAACCTTATGGGCCAGATTCCTGTTACAAAAACACTTGTAATTACGGCTGTCTCAGCATTTAATATCAGCCGATCTCATTCCACATGGAATCACATTCTATCCCATCATTATCATAAGCGCGCTAAAAACAATTGTTATTCAACACCGATGCGACAAACAAGTGAGTAGCGCGTCCGAAGTAAAGAAATAAGATTTATATATAAAACACTGTTCTGGCAGTAACACTTGTATATAGACAAAACTGGTTATATACCTGTATATAGGCATACACATTTGTAACTTGAGGAAGTAGCACACCAATATTACCTGTAGAGTATACACACACTTTTTAGTAACATTTAAAGCAAACTACAAGTTTTTTTATGCAATAACGGCATGTATATATACAGAAACTAAATACGTACGATTCTTTTAGATCACTTTTTTTTTCGCAGGCTGGTGATGTTTTCCTGTTGAATGTATCCTGGTATGCTTCATAGATCTTAATAAAATTTTGGGCGTATATTATTTTTATAATCTCATTATTAGGCTACTCACGATCATGAAGATATCCTGTCTATATATAACCTGTAACGCTGTTTTTATCAAGAGGCATATATTGTAAGCCTTGCATTGTAAGAGTGCATTATGAACCTTGATGATGAATATTTTTTTTATAACATAAAATGTTCAAATCCCTTTAAGATGCATAGCCTATACATTCTAACACAAAGTTGAAACATTCACATACAAATCTAATCCAAAAAAGAACACCAGTCTGATAAAAGACCATTAACAAAGAAGTTCCAATCAAGATTTGTCTTGACATTTAAAAACATAGAAACTGTAATGATAATCATGCTGCTAAAGTATTCAGCAGTTGATTGACGCATTAAGCACTTTGCAAGTATAAATCCCATTTCAGCTAACAATGTTAAAATACACTTGGTTATAGCCTATAATAACGTTAAAAGCGGCCTTGTTTGGCAAAATCTCGAACAATCGATATCCTTCGTTTCCTTCCTTCTGGTTGTACACTGGGGAGGAGGAGTCGTTTCCATCGTCTATCTTAAACACAAATCAGCAGTGTGGGTGCATTCAAGACATAGGTTACAGATAATGTCCATCGCCATTAAAATCTTGGACATATTATGTCCGAGTTAAAAAAAGACGCTATCAAACTCTCGACCAGCTTTAGTCAGTGTAGATGTGAGATAGCGTAGTAAAAAGTGTAGTAGTCTAATGAATGGATTTCATCACTACAGTCGACTAATGGGAGAAATATCATTAGAAGCCGCTAACTGGATTAATATCACAAACAGAGGAGGATGATTGGATAAATATAACATCTTAATGCTGCTAACTGGACAGACATAATCAAAGAACACAGTACATATGTATTTATATAATTACAAGAGGCAGATTTGGGACTCCTGGCTTCCTTATTCTACCTGAATACAAGCATGCTTTCATTCCAATTGGTCAGACACCCGTGTCGTTAAATCCGTGGTTATCTCTCCACTTTGCTTGACTTCCCCTATAAAACATAACATCAAAATATACATGAATGAAAACACTTATTTGCAAAATACCATCAATTCACATGAAATTAAATAATTATATAATTAGGTACACGTACTTTTGATAGTAACACACACACACACACACACACACACACACACACACATATATATATATCATAAAATCCATCTTCGTTTCAAAGACATTTAAATTTGAAAAATAAAATACAAGTTATAAACATGTGTAATGTCATATATTTTGCTACTTTGATTGCTTCCAAGTTAAAATGTCTTGTCGCTGGATAACTTACCCATGTGACCGGCTCCTCTTACGAATATGTAATCCTAGCGCAACAATTATACAGCTTAATATCAAACTGACCAAAACAGCAACACCAGCTACGATATAACCAATAAGACCAATCAAAGTGCTCTCCGGGGCCAATGATTCCGTCGCTCTTTTTTCAGTCATCATTTCAGTCATAAGACTAGTTGTAGTAGCCACTGCAGGTGTTTTGAGTTCAGTTGTTATTGTGATTCTTTCAGTGGTTGCCTCTGTACTTGTTGTTATATCAGGGGAAGGAAAGGGGTTGCTGTAGACAAAAGATACCGAAACGATATTCGACACTTCTCCTGTCTGATTTTTATCGTCCGTGGCCACTAGTGCTATGAAATACGTGATATTCAAATCATTTGCTTGGTTGAATCGGACGACGAAAGTTTCTGTTTCGCCGGCTGGTAAGGGAGAATCGAGTTTTCCCTGGACAAGATCCCTTTCAAGGAGTTTATTGGTGTTATTGAAGTTTAGTCGAAGTTTTGAGATTGACGAGCTGTAGCGAATGATGTAACTCGATGCTGAAAGAAAAAAAAGCAGCGTGTGAAAATATCAATTGGAAGAATGCAGCTGCTGTTCGAATATCTCCTTTAGTGTTCACTTGAAGTTTTTCACCCGATACAAAGAAATTGCGGGTACTCATTCTTTCTGATTAATACAGTTAAATGTCAAACATTTTTATAAGATGATACAGTATCTCATCTTAGAATACGTGTACAATCAAGGCAACGTCCAATACAGATATATTTTCCTATTTTGTCTACATTACTCTGATGACATGAAATGCAAATATTTTGGGTGCAGGTCCCGTAATTCTATTTTTCTGTTGCTTTAAAAATACTGATGCAAATCCCAATTATCATGTCCGAAACGCATAATATTCTACCCTATGGTGCCAGGGGCCTCTAAATAGCAATCAAATTATAGCGATTTTGAAACGGACTACTAATGCAGACTATTGTCAAAGAGTAATAATATCCCACTTGCCATTTCCTTGGTCCAGATCATCACCAGTCGCTGTCCAGGACAATGTAACAGTTTTGTCCTCAGTGTTAACTGCTACCAGCGCCAGGTCGTAGATTCTTCCAGGAGGGTACAGGTCAGGTGGTTCTGAACCAGGCGTCGAAGCTGGGAGATTCTTAACGGTGAATAAACCTCCGCTGTCGGAACGCTCGAATGGTTCTACAGACTTGAAGGTGATATTGCTCTTTATGCCGTTTGATGAAGCTATTAAAATTATACATGTGCTCTTAGTGGTTACAAGCGGATGCTTATAGTCCAGCAAACACAGAACGTTATTTCAATGTTTCCATAACGTTTATATTACCGATAAACGTTATAGTTACTTTATGGTTATTAAACGTTATGTGTTTGCTGGGAAGAGGATTAGGCGGAATCCAATTGGTCATTTAGAATAACTCAATCGGTTTGTTGTAAAAAATCAAAAATAGGAAAGTTTTGATATGTGTTGTCACTATACATTAAGCATACATTTTTGGTTTAATGCACTCGACAAGGATTCAACGTGATTCGATATTTTTAAAAAAGAAGACCAACAACCAACAGTGCGAGACGCTAAATTTGTCGCTATCAGCTTCAGGAACTGTGTAATAACATTGGACTCATGGTCGCTAGTTCAAGTTGTATTGGATACATTTAACCGTCCGTCTTGAAAAAGACTGTTGGTAATTACAAGCAATGTTTGATACTCACAGCCAGCGGATTTGACCGAAGCACCTTCTTCCCCTTTTACTGCAACTTGCACTGAATGTTTCACGTTGCCTCCGAAGTTAAGAAAGTACGCTGTATAGATTCCATCGTTTTTTGCGTTATCCGCACCTTTGTGGGAAAAATAACTTATTTTCTTACATCATTAATACAGGCCAAATATCTTGAGCAAAGGAAATTATTCAATAAACAGTTTCATCTTAACTCTGAAATTTGCAGAATACACTGTAATACCTAACATTCAAAAATATAAAATGTCTATATTTGAAAATATGGAGGGTGCTCTTCAAAGAATGCCATATTATAAATATCTATGTCTATGTCTCATTGAATTCACTTCATGAAAGTGAAGCACAGCATTTGAAATTTATAAATGCTGCATCGCTTGCCAACTCAATTGATTATATACCATAAAATCATTAAAAAACAAAAAAGTAGGTAAAACAATAGTTATGTGGGCGTTATTTTAACTAAAACGTTGAAGACAAAAAGGACACAGTGCATGTATTTCAGATTTTTTTTAAAACAGCAATGTGAACATTAATACGTGTCTATTCACCTGCCCCGTTATCAAGCAGTTGTAATGTGTGGGTATTCCCAGCACTTGTGTCAACATAAGCCACCACAGTGGCGCCAACTACCGGTGTGTAGCCTTGAGTAACCTCTCCGTATATGACAATGCGAGACATACTCGGATCTGAAATGGTTACTATATAATGCAAACCTACCATTCGTATGCTTGCATTACAGCCAAACATAAGATCGCCTAACACACACACACACACACACACACAGAGAGTCTCTGCCTTAAAACTTATTAAAACAAAAACAATGAGTAGTTGGTGCGGTACTTGTTTCACGTTTCCTCAACGTATACTTTATATTCCATTTGACGTTGTACACTATTTCAACCTTCTTTCAGGAAGTACACTATCTTGCAAAATATGTATATATGTAAAACAGTACTTGTTACCTTTACCTGCAATATCTACGGTATCACTGCTCACACTGGCACTCAGTACAATGGGTGCAGCGTCTGAAGAGGGACGTGAAGACACCTGGACCTGGACTGCTGCGTTTTCGGAACCCGAGCTGGTGACAGTATAGAGCCATTTCCCGACCTGTTTAAGAACACTAAATATAATCGAATGTATTTGCATCATCATATACATTTATCTATGGTGGAAACCACTTGTATTTGGTAAAGTCAATGTGTAACTGGGCTGCAAAGAGCTTACATCAAAAGTTAATCAGCGGCAGTATGCAGGAGTTGAGTTTTAATTGTTCCGACTTAAAGCCAAAGCTAGAAGGGGATAGACGAGTTTATCATTGAATTATGGTATGTTCTGAGCTCTTCAAGATACCCGACACTATTCATCAATTAAAACCGACCTTTTGAACTTAATTACTATTTTGAAATCTATAAACAACCAATTTTTATTAATTGAAATAAATATTGCACCCTGCATAGAAAGCTATGATACCTATACTTATCACCGTTTGTTTTTTCCTTTTATTTTTTGGTAACGAGCCTTCCTTTTGATACCAATATAAGAAACGGCAAAACATTTAGAAAAGTTCCTTTTCAACTCAATATGAAGCCATACCTTTGCCGTGCCCTCTATATTAAGACTCAGTACTCCAGACCCGTAGTCCTGCGCAGTGGGCGTTATGGTCACATTGCCAGGTGCTCTCAATGTCACAGTGATCGAACCAGTGCTCCATGTGAACGTAAACCGTGTGCTGTTTCCAACAGTACTGTCAACATACACGGAGCCTTGAAAAGCGTTTCTGCTGGAAACTGTTATGGTATCTGACAATACCTGGGTATATGAATAATATGTAGAATTAGCACATTTGCTTTAAAAGAAGGTTAGCTTCTTTGCAATACCTACAGGGTAAATAATGACACGTTACCATGGTAACAAGTATTATAAAGGGGCCAACAATATTTAGCTTACCTCGACCTATACAAAACATTTACTAAACACCGGACACAAACGGCAAAGTAGAAAAATAAGCTTTAACTATGTTATATAAGGTTGTCACCACGAATGGGGGAGTTTCAAGTAGTAAAATTGCTCTTCATCAGCCAAGTGAACATTAACCTGAACTAGATTTTTCCTAAGTCCGCTGGTCCTCTGTGTGACGGCTTTTGACAAGGCGTCTGTGAGGGCTGTTGACAGAGTATTCCCCGTGTCAAAGAAAGACAGGCCACCGGTGTCTTTAGCTAAAGAAATCAGCTGGTCTTCAGCCAAATCCGTAAACAGTAAAGCATCAACTATCACTTTCTTCTCTATCAGAATTGGTTTCATTGTCGCCACGTTTGGAAAGGACCCAGTATTTTCCTTGCCATCACTTACGACAATCAAAATACCACCAGCCGCCACATTGTTATTTTCCTCTAGCAACTAGTAAATAGAGAATACTATTTATTACTTGCTGGAATGAGAAAGATTAAGGAACAATCACTTACACTGAAATACCAGTAACCGTTGTTATGATATCAATATATCGGTAAGTTTTTATAGGTATTATTCTATGCTCTACAGAACAAAGATCGATGCTACCATTACATTATGGAACTTTATTCAGGGTGACAGCGGATTAGATATATTGTTTCACTGCATTTAATATATACTATTAAAAACATGTTTTTACTATTATCTTTTAATCTTAACATACTAAAATGTGATGAAAATACTGGATGTAATTTCCTATGAGAAACATTAATAGTTGCAACCAATTATCCCCACATAATGGTAAAATATTCCAGATTGTATAAACTAAGAATTGATCTATACACGCAATTATGTTGAAAATGCTCACAGACAGACCTAAGATTTTGATTTCCGTTGCTGATTAACGACGTGATGCCATGTTATGAGAAGTTTTACGTCGATCTCACGATCCCATCTTTATGGATCAGCATACCTGAATGCCTCTGTGAAGACCACAGCCAATACAAGTGCCTCCATTGGCAACAAGACCATATACAAGAGTTGTCAGCTGATTCCTCACCGCTTCCGAGTTCACCGTCGTCAGTCTCTTCAACGTGGCGGCTACAGAATTAAATGTTACTATGCCTACTTGACTGCCTTCATCAACGGTGGTCTGCAGGAATCCAACACAAGCTTTTTTCAAGTTAACTAATTTGTTGTTCTAAAATGGCAAAAAGGTCGGTGTCCGTCATTGAATATTTGAAAATGAAGCAAACATACTCTTAGTGCCTGATGTTTGACGTATACCACACAAGGAACACTGCTGAATAACATAACTATCGTCAGCAACACCAAAAATAGCATCAACATGATGAATCAAGTAACAAAGGCATAACTTTAGTCTTCATTGTTCTGTTAAGGGAATTGCTAAGAGGAATATACCAATGATAGGACAATTGTTAAGAAAATCTTGGCCGCGAAAAAAGTTTCTTTGCAGTGTGAGATGTAATTTTCCACCAAAAACTGGATACATATAACAAATTGAATTGATCAATCCTTATCAGGTATCTAGGAGTATGAATATTTCCTCTATGAATACAAATTACACTAAAGTACGTCAATATAAAAATGTCACTCACCGACGCCATACTTCCGGATACGTCGAGAACCAGTACATATCTCTTGAGTTGCTGTTGAACCACTTTGAAAGTAGGAGTTGTATCTATATAACCTTGTACAGGAGGATTATTATCTAGAACAATGGAAGAATTTGCTTTTTGTGAATATCTCATAACTGTGCATGATTTTCAGTTTGTCATTTTATGTGTTTTAAAAAATAAAACGGAAGCAACTTGAATTTCTTTCCTTTAAATATTTGCCTGCTGCTGAATTTTCAATTAACGAAAGTCGGTTTCGAATTATATCATCTATATCGTTATGGTAATTTAGAAGAGAGTTTGAAATAAAGATACATGCATTTCTTATCGCATTGTT